CATTGCATATAACATTTAAATTAGTTCTTGCATTGTGAATATTATTACTTTTCTCAAAAATCTTAGGTAGTACATTATTCTCAAGGTTGATTTTCTTGAAATATTTTGGCTCATCTGGAGGCATGCAGCTTTAAGGCTTGATAGCAATTTATTGCTCACCTATTTTTTGTTGCTAATGTAATATTTAATATTTTTTCAATATTAGAACCTTATCTACTACCTACAGATACTTGCTTACTGATACTCTTTTAAATAATAATGTTCTATACTTTGGATGTTGTGTTTATTTAAGAAAAATGTTGTTGTATAATGACTGATACCTTTCAAAAGATTTTAATCTCTAGACAAAATAAGACTTTTAAACTGCAATAATTAAAGAATTTAGGTTTGATATTGATTTAAGTATCTGTAAGTGTTTTTTGATACTTTTAACAAAATTTGAAGTTTTTGCATCATTCTAAGTAAAACCATAAATATTTTGTTTAAATTTTAGCATCAGACAGGGTTCTACGACCAATGATTTTAACGAAGCAGCTAGATTTAGCTTCGGGATCTTCAGTCACTACACCAAGAATAAACTTAGTGAAAGAACTAGAAAAATTCAACCGAGAAATGTCTAGGAAGGCTAGTGAGACAACCGAGGCAAAACCTGTGACCACATCTTCATCAGAGAGTGTAACAGTAGAGAAACCACCTACACCGACCCCTGTGCGATCTGTGTCTAGACCTAACATCCTAAGAGGACGTCCACATTATCGCCCTCAAAAGCGTTCATCTTCTCTTGATTCTGCATCGGTAGCCTCTACATCAACAACAACAACAACGACAACAACCTCTTCATCACCAGCATCAGAATCATTGTCAAAAGTAATAAAGTCTGCTGCAATAGCATCTCGAATTTCATCATTGGTAGAGAAGAACAATGATGTCATGAAATTTTCGCAAGACCTGATTCAGTCAAAATCGGAAGTGCGATTCTTGAAAGGGGACCAAACACCAGTTTGTGCGGATGCTGTGCTGACTATTCCAAACCCATCATTCTTCGCGAGAACATCAAATGAATCTACTTGTGTATCTAGTGAAGTGTCAAATTCTGAACCAATAGTTTCTTCTGCTGTTTCAAATATACCTGTGTATACTAAAGCAAACATTAATAACAGGATACCTGAAGCTACAACTGCACCGGTAATGCTGTCAAAAAAAGCTCAAAATATTCAAAATTCAAATAATAAAATGGTTATAGGTAATGTTTATAAGACTTCAGTTGTATCAGATCCAACAGCTTTGCCAGTGTTGATGCCAGTTGCAACAGATAAAGCATTTCCAGCCAGTCCAGATGATGTTGTTCTACCTGCGGGAAAAGGGTATGTTGTTTTTAAACCTATGGGAAATCTTCCAAAAGATTGTGTATATACAATTGAATCCTCCACTGGTCTCATTAATGCTGTCGTTGACCCACATAAATTTGTTAAACCATCTGGCACTGCTCCGAGAATTGTTTCTAGTCATAGTTCGAAGGTAAGCTTTCAATCTAACCCCATAATGTCTGTTAAACAAAATCAGTCCGTACAGCCTGTGAAACCAGTAGTCGAAGTTCCTACTAATCCAATAATAAATCCTAAAATACAGGCCATTTTAAAGAAACATTTTGCTGTTACTGATAAACAAGGTGACTGTCATATCAAAGAGGAGGATGTTTCAAAAGAAAGTACAGTATCAACTATGTCAGATGGAACTGTTTACACATCTTTTCTAAGCCAAGTTGCTAAAAATCCAACATTGGTTACAAAGCCTTCTATATTCAAAAATAAAACCTCGGTCTCTCAGGACACATCAAATTCTGGTTGCACAGAACCCACTAGCACTCTTGTATTGTCAGGGAGTAACCCAAAAAGTAATGAAGTACCAGTTAAAGTAATAGGTTATCCGGCCCCACCTGGTACCTCAGGTTCTTCATTTACGTTAACTAAACCAGTGGTCACACTGTCATCTGTAAAGTCTTCACCAGCAGCTATATCATATATTAATATAGCTTCACCTAATCCTACTCTTAAAAAAGTTTTCACCGACCCCAAAGAAAATCTTAAACAAGAGCACAATACATTAAACAAACTCCTTCAACAAACAAAAGCAGTCAAATATCTCAAAACAGAAATTTCTAATGAGGTTACCATGACAACTAACACTCAAATAGTAGGGTCTTCTTTATCCTCTGAAAGTAATGTAAATTTACAGCCCATTTTACTGCCGACTGTGGTCCCTAGTGTTTTCCCTACTGAAGTTTCACACACAAGCTCTCAGACAGAGAAAAAAACACCCACAGTGTCTGTATCTAAAACCATGGTATACAAAGCATATCCAGGTAACAAAACAATCTATTTAGGTACTACTGAATAAAATGACAGGGCCCTCGATCAACCAAAATGTCCCCCACACCAAAACTTTTATGTTTTCTCCCCCTAGCAGAGGAAAAAATTCCACCTAAAAAAATGTAAGATCTTAAAGAAAAAAATTGAAAAGTTATGTTGTTTTTGAAAAGTAAAATCCATGTATTTCAATGATTTTTTTTGTAAGTAGAATATACATGTCTGCACCATTTTCTGTTTTCACATAGTTTGACAGTGTTTTATACCCAAGATTTGTCGTCAAATATTGGCCTTTTGAGATTGAATGTCCAGTTGTAAAAGTCCAAGGGTTAATCACTGAGCCAGTAAATCAGTTGCTCGCTTAGTAGTACAATCATATATCTATGTTATATTATATGAACTGCGTATCATAGCATAGTTTCATGTACAGTTGAAGTGTTAATTACAGAAATTGTCAAGGTATATGTAGTTTATTTTGTACTGAAGTGTTGAAGGTTGAAATGAGTTTGATAATCTTCAATTTTTTTCTCATTTAACATTAAATATGTTTATCACCAAACTTACACATTCTGAATGGTTCAAGTTTGTTTTTTTTGTATGGACTGCTATTTCCCTTTGATGGACCCCTGTAATTTTGTTGAATAGGAACATCATGGTTCTTCCCTTTTCCATAGTCATCTAATGTTTCAGAATAGAAGTCAGTGGTTTCTACTTGTGTGCCGGTTAATATCTATAATATTGTACAGAGGGCCTCCAGAGGTCATTGTCTTCCAAAGAAATATTATAAGTTGCCATATGACCTCAACTGTGTTGGTGTGATGTAAAACCCAACCAAAAAAAAAAAAATGTCAATCAGTAACAAGTATCAGAATGTCTCATTTATATTGTAAACTTTGTGTTTGAAAAATGGTTGTCAGTTGCTTTGAGTTGAATTATATACATTTCCTTGAGATACAAACTTGTAATTTCAAGGTCATGGCGTGTTTAGATGTAACTTTAGCTATTATAGGAAAAATTAGTTTAAGACTAAAGTTACCAGATGTAGTATTTTCTTTGCTATTTCTTGGGATGGGGGGTGGGGGTAGGGGAGATAGGATGGGGATTAAACTTTCTTATGATTAACTGATGTTTGTTTTCTTGTTAACTACTTGGTAAATTTTTATAATGGTAGCAATGTGTTGTAATATCTGAACCAATGAGATGCATATGTTTAATATACTTATAAAAGAAAAATTGATGATATAAAATGTGTATTTTCATTTTCTGTATTTTCACTGTAAAAATTTATTTTCAGTATTTTCACTGGTGTCTTAATGGACTACTTTCTTCTTAATTCAGTCAATACACAGAATCAATTTATTTAACTAGTTTTATTATGTTACCATTAAATACATTTATATAGTATTTTATACTGATTTGTATTGAATATAAATAAATATAAATATAAATTTGTAAGTTAAGTATACTTTTGAATATTTACTTTGTAAGTTTAATTTGAAACAAGTTGTTACTGCTATCAAATAACAGAAAATTGTTTTTATATACACTCTTAATTACAAACCTGCAGTGACAGGATAGTTGAATTTTTGCACATCCTTTCTTAACTATGTTTTTTAAAAGAAAATAGACTGCCACATAACTGGGCATCAATGTATACTAAAAGTCACACCTAGGTTAAGTTTTTATGAACCAACCTGTGTTTTCACTGAGGTATTAGTTCGTAGCTTGGAATAATTGTATATTACTTGTGCCACCACCTGGTGGTTCTGTCAACAATTATGACTGATGTATCCGCTTTTGAATTTTAATTAAGTTTTTTTTGAAGGACCTGATTTTTTCTGATGAATTTTGGCATAATTATTTCCTCTTTTTCTATATATACAATATTTTGAAGACCTATAGTTATTCCATCTATCAAACACTTGATTATTTTCGGGCCTGCTGTCATGTACTCAGCTTTCATATTTACCCACTGTTAAGGTTTTGTATATATTTTATACATAAATGATTTTGCTAAGTAAAACCAAACCTTTCAAGCCATACAGACTGGTTTAAAACCCTGAGATAATATCATAAATCTGCATTTGAATAAAAAAAAGAAAACAATTTTCTTCTTGAAGAATCTCACTATTGCTAGTTGCTTGCTGGTTTTCATAGCATTTCAATTCTACACATTTTATATTCTGTTATTTGAATACAGTATCCCAAATATGCATTGAATTTACTTGATATTTAGTATAAGATAATAAACACATAAAATTAAATGACTATTTTTCATTTTGGCTGGTACAGAGAGTAACACTGTATTACTGAAAGGCTCCGGTTTTGCTAGATTTTATATATACCTGGTGACTATAGTACATAGATTTTGATAGATTCAGATATTGTTTGATTGTTAAATATTGACAAATAAAATGTTGAATATTTGACTCAGTTTTATTCTATTGTATTGACTTTGGGATATGATAGTTCTTCAAGTGATGCTGTGTTTAAGCATAGAAATTGTGATAAAAATTGAACAAAAGTGATATTATATAATACAGTAACTGGTGGCATATAAAATGGTGAAAACTTACATGAAAATTAGGAGACAAGACCATATTGTGTCATCCCCTTAATAGTTTGAGATTTAGCCCAGAATGCAAAGGACAATAAGTTCCTATCACAATGAAATTGTAATAATTCAGTTATAGTCTTAATAAGGGGGTTGTTGTTGGTGGTGACTTGAGAAAAAAATTTCTACTTTGTCCTTTACTATATGAACTTAAGCCATGAGAGGATCACATACAGTTGGAATTTTGTATATTGAATTGATAGAAGACATCGTTTTAGCTCACCTGTCACAAAGTGACTTGTGACAGGGTGAGCTTTTGTGATCGCTTTTTGTCCGGCGTCCGGCCGGCGTCCTTAAACTTACTTTAAATGACATCTCCTCATAAACTGCTGAGCCAATTTCATCCAAACTTCACAGGAATGTTCCTTTGGTGGTCACCTTTAAAAATTGTTCAAAGAATTTAATTCCATGCAGAACTCTGGTTGCCATGGCAACCGATAGAAAAAACTTAAAATATCTTCTTTTAAAAAAACCCAAAGAGGTAGAGCTTAGATATTTGGCATGAAACATCTTCTAGTGAGTGTCTATCAATTTTGTTCAAATAAAAGCCCTGGGGTCAAAATTGGCCCCGCCCCAGGGGTCATTGATTTTCCCTATATGCATATAGTAAAAACTTAAAAAATCTTCTTTTAAAGAACCCAAAGAGCTAGAGCTAAGATATTTAGCATGAAACAACTTCTAATGGGTGTCTACCAAGTTTGTTCAAATAAAAGCCCTGGGGTCAAAATTGGCCCGGCCCCAGGGGGTCATTGATTTTCCCTATATGCATATAGTAAAAACTTATAAAATCTTCTTTTAAAGAACCAAAAGAGCTAGATCTAAGATATTTAGCATGAAACATCTTCTTATGAGTGTCTATCAAGTTTGTTCAAATAAAAGCCCTGGGGTCAAAATTGGCCCAGCCCCAGGGGGTCATTGATTTTCCCTATATGCATATAGTAAAAACTTTTAAAAAAAAATCTTCTTTGAAAAAAAAACAAATAGCTAGAGTTTAGATACTAAGCATGAAACATCTTCTAGTGAGTGTCTACAAAGTTTGTTCATATAAAAGCCCTTGGGTCAAAATTGGCCCCGCCCCAGGGGTCATTGATTTTATTTATGTGTAAGGCAAAAACTTAAAAAAATCTTTTTTAAAAAAATCCAAATAGCTAAGATATTAAGCATGAAACATCTTCCAGTTAGTGTCTTCAAAGTTTGTTCAAATAAAAGCCCTAGGGTCAAAATTGGCCCTGCCCGGGGGGACATTGATTTTCCTTATATGTGTATAGCAAAAACTTAAAAATCTTATTTAAAACAAAACAAATAGCTAGAGTTTGGATATTAAGCATGAAACATCTTCTAGTGAGTGTCCTCAAAGTTTGATCAAATAAAAGCCCTAGGGTCAAAACTTGCCCCGCCCAAGGGGTGTCATTGCTTTTAACTATATGTGTATAGTTAAAACTTCAAAAATCTTTTTTTTAAAAGCTCAACGAGCTAGACCTTAGATGTTTAGCATGAAATATCTTCTAATGGGTGTCTACCAATTTTGTTCAAATAAAAGCCCTGGGGTTTAAACTGGCCCCGCTTTGGGGGCCTATATACAGGTGAGCGACTTCAGGGCCATCATGGCCCTCTTGTTATAATTATAAGTCAGATTTAAATATGTCAAATTAGTTATTCTGTATTTCACATAGAGGTCATTTAGTAAATTGTGTTTCATATTAAGGGCATGTAAAATAAAAGCATGTCGTTTGAACTTAGTACAACTAATAATTATAAAACAAAGTAGTAGCATGTACTAATCTTAAGTTGAAATATGAACTGCAAGATAATGTAATTGACAGTTATGCTAATCAATTTATTTTGCTGATAATTACTTAAAAGTTACTAATATAGCAACTTTACCCTGATTTTCTTAATAAACATGTATTTATGATATTATAATTATTATGATTTTTATGTATTTGAGAATGTGTAGGAACATGTCTTTATGTGTTTTGTTAGCAGAAGTAACTCCGCGCCCTGTAGTCCTAGACACCGTTCAGAATCACCTGACCGCATGCTGCAGCTATCACCAAGCTCACTGCCTGACCGTCTTCCCGAAGAACCTGAAACATCTGCTCGGGAAGAAGCCGCAGACACCCTGCTTCAGTTGTCTCAGGATTTTGTACCTCTCACACTTGGCAATGTCAGTTTACTTGCTGCTAACCGTGATCTTCTGACCTGTCCTACCCCAGGTTGTGACGGTTCCGGGCATGTTTCCGGAAATTATAGTTCACACCGTAGTTTGTCTGGTTGCCCATTGGCTGATAGAGCAACAGTACAGGCCAATCAGGTGGAACAGAAGTAAGCATTTCTATGGTGATAGGTTCCTGTTGAACTATTCTGATTAGTGGAATTTTGAACATTACATAAAATTTAAGTAAATTACATGTTTGATTTTGCGGGAATAAAATTATAAAACCTCATCTTATAGCAAGTTATACGGTAAAATTTTAAAGTGAATGTTTCAACATTTCACAAAAAGGTTTCAAAGTCCGACAGTATGGGTAAGGCAAAGGCTACTCATAATGTTAACTTGCGAATGCTTATGCCACAATAATCAGGATACTGAATAATGCTTCATAACTTCCACTAACAGGACTTGTTTGTTGTTTTTATGTTATGTCGGATTGATGTTGTTTCTTGTTTTTGTTTTTGTTTATTTATGTTGTAGATACTGTTCCTGTGTTGTTGTTTTTTTCAGTATTGTAATGTTTTTATTGAGTTTGCTTTTTACTGTATTCTGTTTGAAAGAGCATTTCAGGTTTAACTCCTGCATGGAAGATACCCAGAATCAAAAATACATAAGTTAGCTAAGGTCTGTCCACTAACAAAAGAGTAAAATTCTGGAACATAATGGAATGCAGGAATGTAGAGTGTTGTGCTTGTGTTGAATGCAAAGAGGTGCATGTGATGTAACAATTTCAAAATATTTAATTTCTATCCTATCTCACTAGAAATACAGGTTGAACCTGTATATATTGGCCAATGATTCTCCCTACCATAAGACAGTAAATGCAATTAAGTCGGTTATCACAATGGAGTTTGACTGTATCGGTCTGAAGTTGAAAGCCTTGCAATATAATCAGTGGCATGGTTTGCTTTAGAAATAAACATGGTCATCAATTTGAACATATTTTCGTGTAGATCAGGTACAGTTGCATTTCAAAGTGGTTCATAAAGTATCATCAAACAATCCAGGTAAGATAATTGTTGTCTTTAATTAGTATTTTCTTTAGTTTTTATGCATGTTTTGTTTCTTTATTATTGTGATAGACATTTTATATATCATTGGTTAACTAGGTTATTTTTCATTTGATAATGAGAAATTTTATAAAGGCACCTGCCAAAATTGCAACAAAAGGTGTAACCCTTGTATGAGTTTGAAAATTTATCAATTTAGTACTTAACCTGCTGAATTTGAGTAATGGATTCACTTGGCTTTGAATTTGGAACAATCCATTATAAGTTTAAATGATTTTAATATTTAAAAAAAAGTTGAGCAGTCGGCAGAATAGAGCCTGGATGAGCAGGCTAGAAAATCTGGTTCTATAACAAATCACTTTGGTTTCTACAGGTTAGGTCATTTGTGTCCTGGAATACATTGATTGAAATCTGTTAAGTTACAGAAATAATTATTTTTAATAACTGTCCTAAATTTTAGTGATTTTAGTAAGAAATTAAAGGAAATTATTTGAAAGTAAGTAAATTCATGTCAAAACAATCAGTATTATTATCTTGATAGTTTTCATTTCAACATGACTAAAACAAAAATTTCATTTAATTGGACGTTTTATATATTTGAAAATCTTATGACGTTTTATATATAAAATAATAGTTACCATAATTATTAGTTTGAAGATATTATTTTTGGAAAAATTTTCAAAAAATTATAGATGTCCGACACCAGGATGTGATGGGTCAGGTCACGTGACGGGGAATTACACATCTCATAGAAGTTTGTCAGGATGTCCGAGGGCGGCAAAGCTTAAGAAAATATTTGGTAAAGAGATTGAAAAACGAGATGATGAGCCATTGAGGTATTCAGTTAAGTTTTATTATCCTTTACAAAATACTGAAGTTAAGCATTACATTATATAACCACTGTGTGTATGTTAGTTTCATAAGAATTATTTTGAAATTTCTTTATGAGTATACATTTTCATGGATTTTAAGGGTGATATTGTTTATATGGAGATCACCAATTTATCATACAATGTCTGTTTTTTTCTGCAGATGTCCTATTCCAAACTGTGATGGGTCAGGTCATATAACTGGAAAATATCTGTCTCATAGAAGGTAATTGGTTTGAGTGATTTTATTTTTTTTTAGTCACATTATTCCCAGATTTCATGTTTGATGTTAAAATATTTGGCCGTTATGTATTTAAGGTGCAACAGAAATAAATTTTGTCTTCTGTACAAATATCTTTATTATACATTTTATATGCTGTATTAAACACCTTAAATTTAAGGACTTATCTTAAATTGTCTGTTAATAGATTAAAATATTTTGTTTTCAAAATATGAGGATTGTAAAAACAGCACAGACTCTGGTTCTATAATGGTCAAGAACAATATACAGATAAACATTAATTACATCATAATAACAATACAATTTGGAATATTTTACAGTGCCTCAGGTTGTCCACTTGCCAATAGATTTAAGCTTCAACGTAACATTTTCCCAGGAATTGACAGTAATAGTGGTGTGGATATATCTGCAGCCCTCAAGATGGAACCTTGTGTGTAAGTAGTTGATTACTATAAAAATACTCAATTTCTTAACTTGATGGTATAGGATTGACTAAAACAGTGTTAGTTTGTATTAATTTGCAATAATTGGAGCCTCTATGTCTAAGTGTTTATGTTTGCTGGCGTTAAACCACTTCCCTCCTACTACTGTGGTATAATTTGATAATTTGTTAGTGTCAGTCAGCTAAAGAGAATAGAAATAAAAAAGGAAATAGCAAGTTTTATGTTATTAAGAAAATACCTGAATGTTATGTATTCCGCATGTGTGGTGTCTATCAAACAGTTTAGTTTTATGAAGTTGTCTTACACAAAATCAAACTTATAACATGTGTTAAACTCACCTGTGATGAGACCAATGTAAAAGTTACTGTATTTGCACCCATCTGACTTGTGTGTACAGGGCTCTAGCTAGACCAAAATTTTAGGGAGAAGTGACTTCTCCCTCAGCTCCTATCAGGGAGAAGTTTGACGACATAAGGAGAAGTGAAAAAGTGCTTAGTACATTGATTTGATCTATAAAAAGGAGTTTTACTTATTTATTGATAGTGATATTTGAAGTATAAGTTCTAGAACCCTCTATCATACCATTATAATGTTTTCTTCCTGATTAACTCACACACACCCCCCTCCCTTAAGAAAATATTCATTGTACAACACATACTGGCAAAATTTTCAATGAAAATTTATGTAAACGATACCTTAAGGAATTTTCATTAATAAACTACATTTTAAGTGCTATTGGACACATTTTAACAAAACAAATTTTTCTTTTGGTAACTATTATTTTCATCGTAAAAATCGGCATCGCGAAAATATGTGACAAATGAAAATTTGTCTGTTTCCTGCAGAAACACTTACAATTCTAGTTGTTGTTGATTTTGATTATATTTAATTAAATATTCAATGATTATTTTTAGATTGTTATTCCACCGCTTTTGCAACAGGCATTGTAAAACAAAATTTTCAAATTTGTAGTTTACCGCATAATTTACCGACGTTTATGTAACTTTTTGAAGAAAAAAGTTTATCTACTAGTGTTTTTGACTTGTCCAAAATTGGTCTAATGTGGGTCAATGTTTTTTAAGTTCTTTAACAAATTTCATTTTTACTATCAAACAGGTGTCAAACCATTTACTTGTGCTTCTGTGTGTATTAATTTATATGCAAGTAAATTTACACGATCTGTGTGAGGTTGCGTGTAATTACTGTCAAATATGGTAAGAGCAATTCCAGGTGTAATTTTTTTTAAATAGTGGCAGGTGTCGTAAAATTATGCCTAAAAAATGTGATGTTTACATCCGGGCCCTTTACATCGGCGAATTTCCGATGCATCTGCATAGCATGTCACTTAAATGTGTTAATTGATGTCAATTATCGGCAGTAACTGCATGTGCGTCACCAATTCAGTTTGATTTATGCCTGGAGGCGAGGATAAACTTAATTAACATGCACTGTATGATATATATGTACATGTGGTCAGTAAAAAAATGCGGCGAAATCGTTTTCGCTTTGATGTTCAAACTCGGCGAAGTTCTGACACTTTAGGCGACTAAGTCGCCGAAATCGCCCAGTTGCTAGAGCCCTGGTGTAGTATGCAATTTTCTGCCAATAATGATTCCTGTTCAAGGTCACAGTTATAGGTCATAGCATAAGAGGAAAGCTTCATGTGCAATGGAATTTAGTAATAGTATAAATATATAATTTTAAAAAATACAACTGTGACATTTTAATTATCTATTTTTCAAGTTGTCCAACACCTGGATGTGATGGGTCAGGTCATGCCAATGGTAACTTCCTGTCACATCGAAGCTTGTCAGGTTGTCCACGAGCCACTCAAGCCATGAAGAAGGCCAAGCTGAGTCCAGCAGAGATGGCTGTACTCCAACAAAAGGTGGAGAATGGTGAAGGTATGTTCTTTCATAACTATTATATCTAATGTATGATTTTGTTTTAAATTATATTTCTTTGTTGGTCATTGATATTAATAAAAATGCTTGTAGCATAGGTTTGTTTGAAAGCTATGAGTGTATTGTTTTGTATGTCCTTTGCTACAAACATAAAGTCGAAGAAAAATGCTAAGATTGTTTACAACAGATAAAATATGAAAAGATGATGTAAAGCATACTTAAAATGTCCCAGAATTTACTTGTCTTTTCATGTGAGGTGCAGCACACAAATATTTGTTATTATGGCATGTTTTTATACATTCAAATCTTGATTCAATGATTCACAGATTGACATGCAATATAAATGAGGTCAGACACCTTACATTATATAAATCATTTACATGAATATGAAATATCTTAATTAAAACAATTGAAAGCTAGGCAACTGATTTTATGATTGTATTTCAAATTCACATATTTCACACAGATTTAAATGAAGACAGAGAGCTAGAGGCAATGGATTGTGAAATTAAAGAGTTAAAAACAGCCAACCTTACAGAAGAGTCACAGATTATAAAGCTGAAGGCAGAGATTGCTTGTATGGAAGTCAAGGTAAGAACTGTTTCTTTGGATTGAGCTGTGGCTGTATTGATTGAATCTATCCATTTTAATTGCCACAATTTTGATTATAGCAGAAATATGATGAAAAAGATTACATCTTGTCACCTGCCTACTTTCAGCTTAATGGCATAAAAAAAATTATAATGGTAATTCTTTTGAGGTAATTTTACCCAAATACTTGTCATTTGCCTGAAGGCATGCATAGAAGGGCAACAAAACAAAACCTCACTTTCAATTAAGTCGCCTGCATCTAAATTTTGGTTCATATGTCTGTAAACAAGATCTAATAACGAGTATTAACAATATCACTAATCATTATAATGCATCCTTATTAACCAGGTTTTCAACATAAACTGGTTATTGTAATGCCGAAGTCGGTGGGCAGGTGTCTAATTTTAGCTTCCGCTCAATAACTTTAGTTCCCTTAGGCCTATTGACACCAAACTTGGTGTGTAAGTAGCTTATATCAAGAGGCAGCTTTGAATTGCTACCCAGGTGTCTGTGATCAAGGTCAATGTTACTAAAAATAGAAATTCAGTTTCTGGTCAATAACTTGAGTTTTGCTTTGACCTATTGACACCAAACTTGGTTGGTAAGTAGCTTTTATCAAGAGGCAGCTTGGGATTGCTACCTAGGTCAAGGTCACTGTTTCTGAAAATAGATATCAGTTTCAGCTTACTTTGAGCTTATATCAGTAGGCAACTTGAGATTACTACCCAGATGTCTATGATCAAAGTCAAAGTCAATGTTGCTAAAAATAGAAACTCAGTTTCCGCTTAATAACTTGAGTTTGCTTAGACCTATTGATACCAAATTTAGTATGTGGGTAGCTTATATCAAGAGGCAACTTGGGATTGCTACCCAGGTGTCTGAACAAGGTCAAGGCCACTGTTGCTTTTAAAAAGAAATTCAGTTTTCATGTTTGCTTCACCAAATTTGCTGTGTGGCAGCTTTGGATTGCTGCTTTGGATATCAGGGAGCAAATTCAAGGTCATTTGCTTACAATACAATTTTCAGCTTCTACTCAATAACTTCAGTGCTTTTTGACCTATTGATTGCTGTCACATCAAAACTTGGTCGTTGAAAACCTAGTTTTTGTTGTATTACAGCGCTTCATGTGTTTCTATAAAGATTTTTGACAGTTTATACGGCCCTATATAAATGGTTGTTTGCATATATAACCCAAGCTGCTAGGCAAGGACTATATTTTTATCAACTGTTTATTTAAGGTCATATAACCTGTGAAGAATCTTTAAGATGAATTTACAGCAAACTTATTTTATTAGAGAAAAATGGAATTTCTTCATAAAGTGACAGCAACAGTATATAAAATTCTATAAATGTCACGATTATTTAATGAAATGTGACATTACAAACATACAGTATTATAAAGATGTTAATGTAATGAATCTAATTTTCATATATAATTTAGATCCAGCAGAACGAGCACGAGAACTCCGTCATTGACATTCAGAACCAGCAACTGAAGGACTATCTGCAGACGGTACGATGTAAAATCATCGCCAGTCTTAACTGTGTCCGATTTCCTGCCGTCGAGGAAGTTTTCCGAGAGGAAAATTTTGATAACTGCCTGAGTATGATACATCATCTGTACGCATCTAGAGGCTCTACGGGAGATTATTACTTACAGAATACAATAAAATTAGCTTTGTCGGACATTCCAGTGGCCTAGAATATAATCATTACAATTAGAAATTATTAAATAACTTATTACATTTGGTTGTCACTAATTTTATAAGTCACAGTAGTTTAAGATTTCTGTTTAGGATTTATTTATTCGCTAAAAAGTCTAGAATGTTTTTCACTCACTTGGTAACTGAAAGTGGCTTTCTGATAGATTTGGTCTGTTGCCACAAGAATGCCAGCTTTGTGAAAATGAACAGTAGAGGTAGTTAATTTATTTTTATAACAAGTGTAATTCATGTACTTGTTAATGCTTTCTAAATGTGGTCAGGAACTGATGTTTTAATATGTTTATTTTTTTGAACTGCTGTGTTTTTTTAGTCAGATAACTGGCAGAATTGTTTTGGATTCATAAATGTTTAACCTGTTGTTTGTGTTATTGTTTGTGATGTTAGTCTACAAGTTTTATTTATATGTAAACCATTTATGTGGTGCTTTAGAAGGTAGGCTTGAATATAATAATGTTATTTATAACCATAGAGAATTGCTGGGAAAGTACAAATGTATAAAAATTGTGGTTTTTATTAACATAAGTTATTTAACAGGTGCTTTGATAACGAACATTGGGAGATCAAGATTTTTTTTGTTATTACATGTATATTATTATGAATATTTATTAACCCTTGTTTCACAATGGTGCTTGAATTTGGTTAAGTTTCCATACTCACATGATATTGATGGCCAACCAAACATTATTATGTATTATTATAGCAACATTTTCAATTATTTTTTAACCATGTTTAGAAGGGTAAGGGCAGATAACTTATGATGTTTCAATAAGTTTAATTGTCCATTTTGTGGAGTAGACCCCTAAAGACTGTTAGAAAGATTTCAAGATTTTGTTTTTCAATTAATTCACAATACTAGTAAATATGAGGTGAATAACAAATTACAAAAAGTTTATGAGGTTAATATAACTCACATCTTATAATATTCTTTCTACATAGACAGGAGAAAGTACATTTATACAAAATGAAATAAATTATTTAAAAAAAAAATTACATATGTACAGGACTGCTATTTCACGGTTTTCAATTAAATTGGTTGTAAATTTTATCATATAACTGACTATTTCATTAATTGATCTACTTTAAAATGGGTATCCTTCAAGGGTATCACATACACACTTGTCAAAATACAGAGTTTGCTATACACATATTCATCCTTGTGCAACTTTTATCATGTTGTCAAAAAAATGAAAAATGAGCCGCGTCACGACAAAACCAACATAAAGTGTTTGCAACCAGCATGGATCCTGATCAGACTGCGCGGATGCGGAGGCTGGTCTGGATCCATGCTGGTCGCAAACCCATTATGTTGATTTTGTCATGGCGCGACTCATTAATGTTTATCATTGATGCCAAATTTCTTAAGAAAGGTTCTTCTTTTTGGATGCCAGAGGAAGCAACAATTTTAAAACACATTTGTATTGTTCTGTTATATTTTTCTTTATTGTTTATGATTAAATTCATGTTAATACATTTTGATGATATATAAATATAGAAAGAAGGGTTTTTTTAACATTTGATGATCAATTATAGAAGGGTTCTTTTGAAGTTGTCAGAGTTTTATATGAACAAATATCCTGGACCGATCAAATGTCTCTACATAGAATATAATGTTAATTTATAAAGTGATATGTGAACCTGTCATACTGTGAATTCACTTAATGTCGTGGACATGAAATTTCGTGGTTTTGTCATAAACAACAGTTTTTCGTGGGTATTTGAATTTATTTACAGTTTATTTTTCCAGAAGATAAAATGTAAATAATGTGATGTAAATTAATCATACAGCAGACAAAATAAAATTTCATTTGATCTTAAATTTGTGGATTGACCTATCCACAAAAATTAGTTCCCCACAAATAATAATGATTTTGCAGTTTTGTCTGTCTCCATTTTACTTGTTATTTTTATTGAGGATGTTTTTTTAAATTTTTATAAACAAGATTTGCAGGTATTGTATTATTAAATTATTTAAATGGTCTATTTATAAAGTTACTGTTAATATTGTGCAATAGTTGTGGGGTTAGTGCTTTTTGTGTTATTTATACAGTTAGTTGTTTTTGTTGTCATTGTTTAATATATACAAGTGTTTGTAATATTTATTTATTTAAGTTGGTGTTTTAACATGTGTATACTTTATTGTTGTTTTTTAACCAGGCCTTTTTACTGAACAAAAAAAAACTGGTTTTGATCATTTAAACATTATTGGCAGAAATTGTAGTTCTACGACAGTTTACTGCATACAAAACAAAATATAAGTAATAATAATAACAGATGTGGGAGGTACCTGACCAAATCCCATTATTCTGGAACAAATAAAATTAATCATCTGAAAGTGCTTTCAAGTTATATTTTAAAAAATGGGACCAATGGTATTGAATTTCCTGCAGGAATTTTTATCTTGACCATGTTTTAATTATCAAGTTCTCTCCTTATAAATGTTATTTTTGTCCATGTCTTATTTGTATGACTTTATGAAATAATTATTCCATGTTTTTTGTGTTTTTTTTTAAATATTATGTAAAACCGGTACTAGTAAATTTGTTGGGAGAATGATGATCTGTTAAAATCTCAAGAGTGTAAAAACTTCATATGTTATATACATTAATCTTATCACAATGTCCGTTAAACTGTTTTAATTGATTCAGATTTACACTGTCCTGATATTCATTGAAATGTCTCATTTTAATTTAAATTATTTTTGTGTATATTTCTATACTTGTATGTGCAATGTTGTGTCGTGCAATATATCTGGTCATAAATTTTATACCAGGGATTATTTGGAAATAAATTTATCAAACTGTTCTCTGGTGTCAGTTTCCTTGTTTTTGTATCTTCCATTTTACTTAATTGGTTGTTTAAATAACACTTTCCCAGGATTTCAAATTTTGGAACTATTTAACCTTTACCCTGCAGACAGCAACTAACTATCCATGCAACCAGTGCATACCAAGAACAGCTGACATATCTTATCTTGGCTGATCATGGTATTTATTAATAGTTTGCTTTTCAGTCAGTATACTCGTATTTTGAAATTTTCCCTAAAAATTATTAATGGTTTTGTCCAGTTTGTATGATGGATAACTTGTATGATAGATAAGCCCATTTAAAGTGGTAAGGTTTAAGATATGACTTTCACATCACATGCTTCACAGTTTTACTAACACAATTATTGTATTTTCTTTAACATTTCTTTTCCTTCTTGAATGCTGTTTTGACAACAAAACTAAGAAGACTAAATATGTATACAATTAAAATTCTCTGCTATAGAATATCAACAGCTTAAAGAAGTTGTGAAACATATTACAATGGTTCTTTAATATGTAGACATGAAAATTGTTAAGTCCAAAGACATCAACATGGCAGGCTACAATGTATGTCGTGGAATATGGGTTAATTTATCATTGAAGATCAAGGAACTACATTGGTGAGATCAGAACTTTAAAACAAGTTATTATTTACTTTCACGTACCAAATTAAACAAGGATGGACAGCTAAATCCCCTTCCGCAGTGAACATGTGTGTACTTCTTGACCTTTTACCAACCATGACCTTGATGTGTCATGCATATCATAAGCACATAGTCTCACGATGGTGATTATTTGTGCCAAGTTATTTAAGATCTTCCATAAAGACAAAAAGTTATGGAGAACATATAACCTTGACCTTGGGTGTAGCAACCTGGATGTTGAGCTCTGCAGATTGTGTCATGGTGGGGATCATTTGTGCCAAGTAATTTTAAAACCTTTGAATTGTCAATAAGTTATAGAGCTGACATGAAAAATAGATGTTTTTACATTGGACCTTTGAGTGTGACCCTGACCTTTAGGGTTGTGACTTGATTATGCTCTGCCAGTGGTGTCATAATGGTGACCATTTCTGCCAAGTTATTTTAAAACATTGCAGTAGTTTAAATGTAATGGACAGACACGAAATGTTGTCTTTCTAACTTTTGACCTGTGTGACCTTGACCTTGGGGATAGCAATTCAATTATTGCGCTCTGCACGTCTCATAATGGTGATCAAGTTATTTTAAAAAAATTCAGCGGTTAAAATGTTATGGAGTGGAGACGAAATGTAGACTTTTTTAACATTAGACCTTAAAGTGTGACCTTGACCTTTTGGGTAGCAACCCAATTATTGTGATCTGCACGTTGTTTCATAATTGTGATCAGTTGTGCCCAGTTATTTTGAAAAATTTTCAGCGGTTTAAAAGTTATGGAGCGGACACAAAATGTACACTTTTTATTTTAAATGAAGACTTTTTAACATTTGACCTTTAAGTGTGACCTTGACATTGGGAATAAACACCCAATTTTTGTGCTCTGCACATCGTCTCATTATGGTGATTACTTGTGCCAAGTTATTTCAAAAATTTTCTGCGGGTAAAAAGTTGTGGAGAGGACACAAAATGTAGACTTTATTATGAAATTAAGACTTTTTAACATTTGACATTTATGTGTGACCTTGACCTTGGGGGTAGGTCGTATTATGGTGATCACTTGTACAAAGTTTTTTCAAAAAAAATTCAGTGGTTTGAAAGTTATGGAACAGACACGAAAGTGTAACAGACGGAAGGACAGACAGACTGAAGTCATTCCTATAATCCCCTTTCCGCTATGCAGTAGGGGATTAACAAACTAGTATAAGGAACCTAGGTGTTGTCCTGTCCTTGATAATATCGCATGAAAGGTATATCAAAATTATTATTGTTCAGTATTCAAACTAACAATGCTATAACATGTTATCAGAAACCAAGGGGCATGTGTTAGGTAATAATTATCAAAGCGGTTTAAACACAATAATAAAGAAAAAGGCTAGAACACAGATTTGTAGAACCAAGTTTATTAAGCAAAACAAAGTGATAGAACAGGCTAACGGTTGAATCATGAACATTATTTACATGTTATAGAAGAGGAAATTTCTAAAATATTTATAATTCCAAATTTACACTGCTTCAAACCTTTGTATCAAAATGTTCTTGTCGACATTCTCAAATTTTCCTCAACATCATTTGTTGTTTTTCAATTGGCACGCAAATACTTGTTCTGCTGATATGTTGACAACTTGACATTAAAAACATCAATATTCCTGTTTCTTTTTTTATTATGATAGATCTAGAGAAAACGTGAAAATAAATAAAGGATTTTACATACAGGAGACAAGGCTTTCCTGTAAGCTTTGCACATCTGTACCAGTTCCCTTTATTACAAAGCATAGCTAGAGACATTTAAATCCGGAAGATATAACAAAACCTACAAAATGAATGTTACAATTAAATCCAACTGCTCAAACATAAATGCAAATAATATATGACCTATTCAAAACCTGTGCTATTCTGCCGTCACAAAAAATACCAAATAAAAAACAAAGCGAGAATGATCTTGAAGTAAGGATTAAACAAAAACTAAAACAAATATCTGAAAGACTCAAAAAACCTCTTTATCAACTGATTGGAAGAAAAAAATTTTAAAAAGCTGTAAAATTGTAACTTATATCCTTAAAAGAAACTGAAGTGGAAAAGAAAATGAAATACATGTATTATGATGCTCTTTAACAAATCATAAGTAAACTATGAAATGTTTTGACATTGAAATAATTTACATTTAAAATTTTTTTTTTTGGAAAATGCTTCATTTGCAATATTTTACCTTCCCTCGATGAATATGCATAATGAACAAACCCCTCTTTTAAATCTTAACTACTGAATGATAAAGTTTCAGAGAAGTCTGTTTCACAATTGAGCACCCAACAGGAGGAGTCCAGCCAGACTGCAAAAAGTGTACGCTGGCCCGACCCTATCCTGGCAGCAAAGATGTGTTGATATTGCCTACAACATTTCATACAAAGGATTAAACCATGCCTACATAATTTTTCCTATTTAACTTATCTAAATATTGATTTATAACACAAAAGTGTATTATTTGGCCATAATTTAAGTACATGTACATATATTGACAATAACTGCCTGAAACAATTACAGAATACAGTTGATTGGTCCAGTATCATCTAAGTTCAATGGCAAAAACAACTTGCCACATACAGTGTAGAAATTTACATAGATTTCATGTTCCAAAACATTCAATATCAATAAACTACATTTATGTACAGACTCTTTTATGACAAATTAACAATGAACTTATAATACATGCAACAAAATCTTCATATATAAATCAAACAGTGATCCTTCAAAATTTCTTCTACAAACTTTTCAAACTTCCATTCCTGAACTGTCTATTATCAGTTTCGGGGATATAAAGACGAAAAAAAATTTGCAGCCAAAACTACGGAGCCTGGTCAAGTCGCATTGATGTGTAAACTGAGTTGACTCTAAACTGGCTGAAACAGGTGCTTTCCTCAAAACTGGCTGAAACAGGTGCTTTCCTACTGTCTGTTCCAGTAAGTTCTATGGGTTATATCACAAATCTTAACTATCTCAATTATAATAATCAATTGCACATGTGAATTACATAATATAATAATATATAAATCATGAAATAATAAACATTTATCACAGATTATCGCATCCCTCTCAATACATTATCTTAACATCATACATAAATGCAGAAAATTTATCAAAATCCAAAAAAGCAACTGGATTGGTGGAACATTCCAATTTCCAAAGTCGACCTTAATCTAACACTTGATGATTGCATCAAAAAGCATTTTGTCATTAACATATGTGTTATTCATAATATGCAACCATTCATTGTTAATAAAGCATAGAAGTTGTATAATGTGACCTAGGGTTGTCAAACCAAGGCAAATGTAGGCTAAAATAACTGGCACAATCACATTTTTGGCAACTTCAAAACTTTGAAAACACTCTGTTGTAGAAAACACTCTGTTGTGAAATGAAAAAAAAAATATAACCGTCTCAAATTCAAAATCGACAGCCTCAGAACAAATAATTAATGACAACACTGCATGACGTAGTAAGACTAGCTTTACTGTATTCTAATGAATTCTAATGACAAAGGTAATTGTCACCAACAGTGCTCTAAAAATATACAAGAATACTACATAATAATTTTGAGTGAACAAATAATGGACAAGTCCTTTTTATCAACCAATTTTGAATTATTACTGCAAATAGGAAAGAATGAAAGGAAAGCATGTAAGATTGTGTCTAACACTTAAAATGAATGGAATAAAAACAAGCTCTATGATTTTCCCCACATTACCAGATTTTTTGTGCTACTATGAAACAAGTTCTTGAGATTTTAATGTATGTATTTTTTGGTAAACAATTATTCAGAATCCAATTCCAAACCACCGAAAAGAGTATGGTACTCAATCATTCAATGAATATTGGACAATACACCCACATAAAATAGTCAGTCAATTCATATGTCAGTATGTGTGTATAGTATACATATATTAAGCCATACGGAAGAAATATATAATAATATTAGCTAATCCAAATTGAACGATGACTTAACATACATGTAAAGATATTGTTACATGAAATGTTTTATTATTCCAGGCGTATGCACAGCTTTGATCAACTACATGTACCAAACAGCAAAATTAGTGCTGTAATACCAATATATTATCTACACTGCATTAATAATAGATAATATAATATGAACACAATGAATTTGTACAAAATATACACATTTTCGGAGCACTAAGTCAGCACTAAATGTAACAAATAAGAGAAAAAAATTACATTGTTATAATCATCAACAAATAACATTTAATTGAAAGGGTTAATAAAACCAGAGTTAGTAAATCAGTCTATTAATGCCACTATCTTATTGGTCAATTTCAAAAATACGGAAAGAAATAGCCAATCAGATGCCAGATTAAAGTAAGACTGCTCTACCAACTTTAGTTAAACATTTATGGCCCAAAGTGAAAAAACAATAATTATATCACAATTTGTCGAAGATGCATTATAATTGCCTTCATTATAAGTATTAATTTACTCAACAGGGGAGATCCATACCGAGTAAAACAGTATTTCTTGCCTTCATTTAGATATGATTAATCTTAAGTTAATACGAAAATTTTAATTTTCATTATTTCTTGCTTTCATTTAGATTTGATTAATCAAAAAGAATATTAAAATTATCATTTTCAACTTAATTATCACTCAAAGCATATCTCAAACAATATTTGATCAAAACAAAATCATACAATGTACAAGAGAACATGCATGTACATTAAGATGTAGAAATATTTCATCTTATCCTTACTTTTCAACAAGAATTTATAAAATTAAGTTTAACTGTCAGACTAGATTATAAATTCAACGGTCATCTATTATCCATGCATTAAAGGTAAAAACCTCCTTTACTGGAGAAAATTCAAGGTAAGTTAATATTCTGTGAAATTAGCAATTATACTGTTTTAAACATCAAATTTATCAAGTAAGTCATTCACCATACGGCCATGCATCTCTCTATCCTAATCTCTATAGTATTTAATATAAGACTTCATCGAAGATGGTAAGGGTAGGGAATCTATGGCCTCTTTCATGCACACTGACAGGGAAAGTTTTGGAACATCTTCCTCCTCTTCAGAAACTTTCTCCTCTTCACTCTCAGATTCCTCAACATCCATCTTTTGGGTTTTATTTTCAGAACATCCAGGTTCAGGATCGAGATGGCTCCAGCCTGGGGACGTCTTCTCACTATCACATTGACCCATTTCTTCTTCTAGGTGTTCTTCAACAAATGAACCAATCCCTGAAGTTGTTGATGTATCAACACTTGTGCTGGATGAATATCTCGACTTCCTTGGAGGTTCTAATGTCTTTCCCTGTGCACCATACTTTATAAACTCTTCAATGTTATATATCTTGTCATCTTCAGCATCATCATCTGTATCTGACCAGTGGGCGTCTGGAGGTTTCAGATTCTGTGTATGATTTTTGTTTCCATCTGGACTACGAGCTAATACATTTGCAATCATTTCATCAATCATGGATGTTGACTGTTGTGTGCTCTTTCCAGCATCTTCAGCTGAAGTATTAACCTCAGCTACAGAGTTTATAGCTTCATTCACTTTTCCTTCTTCATCACTACCGTAGTCACTTTCAGAATCACTCTTATTATCATTTGGCTTTTCAGATACACTTTCGACACTTTTTCCATTCTTTCCATTTGCCTTTACTACCACATCTGTCTTTACAAACTTTTTACCAACGTTATCAGCTTTCACACAAGCTCCCTTGTCCGTGTTCACTTCTTCATCTTCATCAGTAGAAAATTTCCCATCTGATCCATCTTTACTGTCTTCAACATCATTCATTTCATCGTCATTATTTTCTTCCTCATTGTTTTCAATCTCTTCAACTCTTCTGTCTTGATCCTCATCACTATCTGTAAGACTATTTTCTCTGTCAAACTGATGTAGTATCATCATTCCCATACTTAATGGAACAATATTTAGATTAGAAAGTCCTTTTGGGGTCTTCTTTTTAGGCTTTTTAGGGCGTTTACGAACCTTTGTCAGTTCAGGGTGCTCTTTATGTATGTTAGTACGTATTACACGCCTGACAGATGTCCGACATAACTCTTGTAGGGTTGGTTGCTCAGGCTCAGCTAAAGAAACAAAATAAAATCTCAGTACAAAATCTAGCAGGATAGTGGAAATTCTAAATGACCCTACAATTTTATTGTTGTACATAACCAAAATAAAATGTTCAGATGCCACACTCATTAAAAGGTATTTTTAAATTATGTACTGTTCTAGTTTATACTATAGTATAGTAAGTCTTCTTATAAAGTTTAGCTTGTAAAGATTTCATGGAAACCAATTGTCAAACTGAACAACAAAATCTGTCTGTACCATATATCAAATGTATGCATACTTGAGGTATTGATCAATCTTGAAAAGTTTCATTAAAATTATAAATGAGAAGCAGTTCGGACAAACTTTAAAAACAAAAATAATCAAAGGGCCATTACTCTGACAAAAACCATAGAACTACATCCACAACTAGACTTAATGCCTGTTAAGTTTGGATGAAACTGCACCAGTAGTTTTTGAGTTGTCCGGACAAGTTTTGTGATGGATGGACAGACAGACGAAAATTAATCCATATATGTTGCTGCTACTCTGTAGCAGTCAGAAATGGAGCGCCTCAATCATTTGTACAACTTTAATAAGCAAAGAAAACAAAATTATCATCAGTTGATAAAGATTCCAATATATATTTTTTTCAGATTATTTTTTTAATTATTTTAATTCAGACCAAGATCAGCAAATGTAACTGGAATGAAGGGCAGAAAAAGAAACTTACGAAGGTCTATCAAATCTGGAGGAGCATCTGGACTTGGTGAGACGAGAGTGGCAAATGACACCGGCAACTTGTTCTTGATATCCCACTCTGTTTCACTTACTCTCTTTGCTTGAATCAGCTAAAAATAAGCCAAACAAATTTATGATTCATTAATGTTTATAATGGTTTTGTTGGGCAACTTTGGCTAAGTGATTACGGTCATTAACTTTAAACCACTTGCTTCTCACCACTGTGGGTTCGAATCACTGCAGGGACTTTGGATTCTTTCACATGAGGAAGTTACACATGTATTAATTGAGGTAGTTAACAGAATTCCAATTGTTCTACTCCGATGCCCAATCATGCCTGAAATAATGCATGGTGGGACATCTGAGGTTTTCCTTCCCTTATAAAGCTGGAAAGTCGCCATATGACCTTTAAAGTGTTGGTGCCATGTAAAACTCAACAAAGCATAAAGTTTTTATGTTTGAAATAAGCTGCGTCATCTCTTTAACAGAAATAAGCTGCGTCATTTCTTTAACAGGGAGGCTACACCAGTACTAGGCAGACAAGACTGACAAAAGATAATCAACGAAAGTTCAGTGCCCTTTTAAAGGACAAAATATCTGCTAAGTGAACCCTGTCAAAATGAAGTCTGTGAGTGTGAATTAATTAATAATTGTTGTAAACTTAAGTTTTGAACTTGAGACATTTCCTCTTTAAATTTCATATCTAAATATTATAAACGAGTACTACACTATTATATGGTAATCACTGATGGGTGTAATGGTAATCACTGAAGACTGTTATCAACCATGATTAAGTGCATCATAAATATCTGAAAACAAAATGCTCCAAGAGCTATGTTAGAAGATTGTATGGAATTAAATTGATTAATATTTAACTGAATTAAAAACAGTAATGTTTTTATTTCTTCTCTTACCCTTTCATTTAATGGCATTACAAGCACACCGCCTATCTTCAACATATTTTTCATGTAATTTTCATGCTCCGGTGGACAACCAGCTCCCACATATACTCTGTCATACAGCTGACATCCAGAGTTCAACTTGAGACAGTTGCCAACAATGAAGGTTGGCTCACAGAAATCAAACTCATCAAATGCAGCACTGTTGCGCTTGAATTCTGCCAGTCTCTCCTGAGCATACTGCACCACATCGTCATACTGCTCAACACCATGATTCACACCATATGGTCCTGCAATAATCACATACATCAATTAAATAGGACCTTCAGTAACTAATTAAGTCTAAAAATTTCTATAACTATACAATACATGTATAAGCAAATAAAGACATTAATTTCAATTAGAACTACACATTGTTAAAGCAGTATGTCTGCAGATAAATGCTAATTCTTCCTAAATCAACATAATTTATGTCAAAATAACTTAAATAGCTCTTACACTAAGTAACAAGAGTAGAAATATGCTGGAAAAAAGATTTAGTTTAAGGAATCATATGGGTTGTGCATGCAAATATATTTCTAAATATCAGAAATTTTCTTTTCAAAATTCATTGTTTAAAAATTTATCCACGTTCTAGGTGTACTTCAAATCTGTGCATGAAACTTTTGAAGTCTTGATCAACATTCAACAATGAAACTGTACAAATGATTTTTACTTTTTTTAAGGGCCAATTTGGGGTCAAAATTTCCCCCTTGCAGAGGTGGAGCCATATAAGGCTTACAGCAAATTAACAAGGTATTGTATTCAGTATTAACCAATAATATCACAGAATATTTGCTTAAACAGGGCATAACTCTGTCAAATGAGTTGATTAAAGTGAAAATTTATCTTAACTTGTGTTTTCATATAACATACTTGCATGCAAATTATAAAAGCAATTTATGAAATCCTTAAAAAAATATCTTCAATAATTTCACAGGAATTTTGCTTAAAAAAATGGGCATAACTCTATCAAAACTTATTTGGTTGTACACTACAAGAAGAACTTTAACCATAGTTTTACGCCAATGCAGATGCTGGCACCGATTCCAAGGTGTCAAAGTATGATAGCCCCACTTTTTTTCCAGTAGTAAAAACTAAAACTAAAAGTCTAACATGTTAATATGAATCCCTAAGGGTATATACTGGTACATACATCAAGTAATTGTTTCTCTCTATCATCTTTCAGAATATTGTTTATGCAAAATATAAAAAAATAAATTGAAAAATATGTCTTAGTTTTGACCTACCTAATATCAAACCAACCATTGTGCTCAGATAGCCGGTCCCACTACCAAGGTTAAGAAATGATAGGCCAGGCTCAAGTTGCAAAGCCTCCATAACTTCAGAGTAAATGCATGGTGCTGACATATGTAAATGCTCGTGTTTCCATGCTAAATCTTTGTATGCAGCTTCCCGTTGATCTGGTAAATAATAGTCTGCACGGTCAACAGCACGGAAGACTTTCTCCACCAATGGTGTTTTAATATAGTCAGCCTCAAGGAGATTGTCAACCAGATCATCATTGTCACTGCCTGTGCTTACAGCTCCGCCCATGATGTATCTTCAAGGTTTAATCGTAAGAAAGATTTTTTAAAAATAAATCTTTACATTTCTGGAAAGATTGAATTAATAGGTTAATCATACAGAAGAGACATGCATGTATGGTACAGTAATAATCAGCCCAGCCCAAGGTCAATCCAGCCTCAATTTAACCCAACCCCATATAATTGTTTATTATGTATATCAAGGGAAAACCCGTGACCCCCAACCCCCTGTAGTAACAGAAAGAACTATTTCTTCAAAAGGGTGAGCTCTGCCTTAGTATGCCTTTTTAAGTTTTACCAGTTATACAGTTAGAGAGGAAACAGGGCACTTCACCCCCCACATTTTGAAGACTCTTCACCCCCCAAAATCAGTAAGACACTTCATCCCTCATCCAATATAAAGTTAATAATTCAACAACAAATAAAGTTTTTGTATTTTTATTCTAATATTTCTTTAATAACTTTTCATTATGTAATTCATATTTTTGCAGTCAACATAAACTTTTATAATTAATACATAACATGAAGTACAGTATGAGTTTACAAACACTTAGATATTGTAAATCTATGTATCAGCTTCAGAAGTTGGCATACCAATATTGCTGATTAAATGACAATAAAACACTTTAATCAATAGATATATAAATTGCTAAGTTATTTCTTTCATAGTATACAGTTTATAATTTTTATACCTTTAAACCCTGCTAAGTTACAGTCTTTAAGGACATTCTCACTTTTGATTCATGAACTTACTTCTTTACAAAATATAACCTATACAAATTAAGTTTAAAGCTAAATAAGGAATTGATTGCGCTGCCTGTTGTATTATACAAAATACTTTCATCCATTATGTGTTTATTGCATGTCACCTTGTTTATTCAACATGTTGATTGGTTGTTTGGTTTATTCAACACTTATCACATAATTGAATAGTTAATTGGATTAAAGTGGTATTTCTGTAAACTATGATATAAATGAAAAAGCTTGATTGAATGTCTGCAAAAATGGCCTAGGGTGAAGTGTCTGAGGGGTGAACTGTCTGCAAATTATTAGAGATATATTGGATGATGTTTCAAGCCAAATATCTCAGACTAAGCGCTTGGTGTATCAGATAGGAAGATTTAACTGTCTGATAACTTTAAGTTTTAAACATTAAGATATATAAGGAAAACCAATGTCCCCCTAGGGTAGGGCCAATATGTAGACCAGCAAACTGAACATGCATTCATTTGAACATAGTGCCACCTGATATTGTACTATGCATTGGGGTGATGTGCTTTATTGTGTAAAGGCCATAACTCCCTCTGACCCTACAAATCTAAGTTTGGCATGTCATTTAGTTATGTAAAATTGTGTCATGGACATGGGTATATTTTTATTTGATTTAAATGGTTCTGCAGAATATGATTGTTATTTTGTCACTTCAAGCTGAAAAGAAGGAAATTCATGCAAATAAAAACTAATAGATGACAAAAAATGATGAAAATCCACATCACATTATAAAGTTCCAGATCTAGGACATTTGCTTAAAAATCAGCTGGTTACAAGTCTGTGCCTCCCAAACATGAACCGATTGTTATACATTATATTTCAAGTAGTGGCTCAATCTACAAGATCGGTTTTCACTATCAATGAATAAAGTCATATATTACCAACAAAAACCCTTATCGGTTTAATACTGTCGCATGTGTCCCTTATGTCCGTCACACAAAATAAATGTCAGACCTAACCAAAACAAAAACAAATGAGGTCATGACGTCATAATGCTGTTCAACATAAAACTTGTATAAAATACCTTGACAGGTAAATAGTTTATGGTTAATTTCACAGTAAACAGAAGTATGAATTATCGCAGAAATATTTGTAGCTCTTAAGCTGAGCCATTCATGCATTTGTTTCCCTGCAAAAATTTTCTAACCTTTTTCTGTATCTCGGACCATCCAATAACTATCAAAGCTGTGCCGAATAAACCGGAAATCGCCAAACGAGCTTCCGCTATTCCCAATTACTCCCTACAATGCAAATGGCGCAAGGGACGAAATTATAATGTGAATTTTCCGTAATAAATGTATAGTAAAAAAGTTTGAGGTGTTTTTAAATTTTGTGAAAGCTAAAACTTACTGTGTTTTAAAACATTACTATAGTTTTTACTCTATTGGTAAGAAATCTTCTTGTTAATTTTACAAAATTTAACCTGATTTCGGTTAAGAGGTTGCAGTTTTCGTTTTCATTTCAATTAAATTGGAACTTTGCTGCGATTAATTCAGCATATATATCGTTAATGTTTTCATGGCACTAAAATAATTTCTTAATGTTTTATAAAGAAATTGTTACAACATTTTACTTTTTTTGAGTGGGTGATTGCAGTTGGGATATGATTTAACCATCTAAAATAGTTTGTTGATCACGTCCGTTGAAATTGGAAACGAGGCTACAGGACACGGCATATTTTTAAGTGCGCTTATTTACTGTTAACGCTTTATTTAACTTGAGTTAGTCTCTAATACTCAGCAAAATTTTAGAAAAATATCGTTTGAAGTAGTTTAGGGTAATTTTATTTTGAATAATCTTGTAATTGTTTCATAATCTTGATTTGGAAATTATGCTTAAACAAACGGATGCGTCGCCATTTTGATGCGGTCACGGGCATTGAGCACGATTTACAAGGAACAATTTGCAAATTATTGCAGACTTTAAAAAAATGTCATGCAAAATTGCTTTGAAATTATTCATTTCAAAATAATTTCGAAATCATTGATGATTTGCAATTGATTATTTATTTATGCAAAAATCATTTTCAGCAGAATTGAATAAAGGGGTTCTCTAAAGGGGAAATATTTACAAAATAATTGAGTCATCCAAAGGGTGCAAACTATTTGGGGTTTCCAATCTTAATAAAGTCATATTTTATATATACATTTTCTCCAAAAAAAGACAATTATAATAACATGATATGTACTGAGATTGAGTTAATTTTATATATTTATAAACTTGGAGGGTTAGTTATAACACTAAATAATTATTTAATACATGTATTATAAGTAAGTTATAATATTCTATTTTTCAAATGATTTATTTTATTATATGTGATGACTTTTTTCAAGGTATGATACAGCTTTTTTTAAATAATTTTTTTTACAAATATAATTACTAAGTTATGAAAGAAAGGAAAACGCCTAAATATTTATAAGCTTTTTTATGCAAAACAAATATTTGAAGTATATCCATAATAATTATGAGTTTAATTAAAATTGTCTTCAAGATTGTGTTTTTTTCCCAATAAGTATATTGAATTAAACTTGAGAAAAAAAATTACTGAAAGGTATGTGTAGGAGACTCCCATTATAACCTGCTTGCCATGGGACTTAATTAAACTTTAAGTTATTTAATAATAATTTACTACTCTAGTGTTGAACTTGAGATCACTTCCTTTACATAACCACTTTTATGTTGATGGTTTCAAGCTTTTAAGTTTCTGTTAGGAACATTATTCTTCTTCTCACCAATTTCCATGGTGCTTTCCAAAAATTTCATGTTATACAGAGGCACAGATCCACCTGGGGGGTGGGGGGACGTAAAGGTTCAACCCTGGCCTGTTAATTTTTTATTTCTTTAAAAGAAGGTACAAAATAAGTCAGATATCATTCAAAACTGTCCTATTACTAAATCATTGTTTATCGGACCCCTGCTGAGCTTCCTGTCCTAAATTATTTCTGCCTTATTTACTTTTGAATTCTTTTATTTATATAAAAAACAGAACCATAAAATTAATGATGTATAATTTATCTAGTAAGTATTTTTAAATCTTCTCTTTTTTAATATTATGCATCATTGGGGTGTAGAAATATGAATTTTGAATTGTGTTTGTGAAAACACTTCAGAAACCTGCATTTTATTTTTAGATTTTTTTAATTGATCAACTAGAAGCTTACTAAAATTTTGTGAAAATTATGTGGACACTTGTCTTAAAATTTCACCTAAAATGCACCAGAAGCCACCATTTAACAAGTAGCTTACATATTTTCCCAAAAAGGCCCAAACAGAAACATAATTAGAAATCTATGAGAGAATATAGCCATGTGTTTTAGGAGCTGTCTCGTAATTCTAAAGAGTCACATTATATTTGTCTTTGAAACAGTAAATACTAATCAAGTTGGAAAGAATGAATCCACAACAGGATAGTGGAGAGCCTCCTAGCAAGAAACAAAGGTCAGACAGTGCAGATGATCCACTGGTGAAACATGACCCAGTTGCCATGGCAACAACTGCACTGACTTTACAAACAGTTCCAAGTACTCTACCAACAGTAGACTTAAATGACCCACTAGGTAAAAATGACATATTCATTTAGCTATATCTTTATAAAGAGGATATAAATACAGCTTTATACAGTAAACAACAAATCCCAGTCTGAGGTTATGGAATATTTGATTATTAACCTTTTTAATAAGTAATATTTTTTCATAAATTCGAAAATATTGGAAAGGGAAACCACTCCATACCTGTAACAAGGGGAGCTAGCATGAGCAGGTTTTTTTTTTAAAAAATGTAGCAAAATGATAATACATGTATGTCTAATTTTCATAAATGTACTTTATTACAAATACACAGGAAAAGGAAAAGCGTTACCAAGAGCAACTGTTGCTATAACAACAGGAAATGTTAGACCCAGTCTTCAGTCACATACACAGGCTGTGACAAGTGACATAGTTATGAAGGTAAGCATAATTTCATGGTTGCAAGTTTTCAGGCATATGCCTGAAGCTCTGGGGGTTTTTTGTGACAAATTTCATCATGTTTTACTATTAGATTATGTAGAATTACAGTTTTCAGGTTTTTCGAAATCTTCAACTTGCAATTGTAATTGTAATTTTACTTTTGTCATCTGAAGGCATGCAGCTTAAAGTAACGCCAGAGCTAGAGAACAACAGCCTGCGGCACTGTGGTCTCCTAATTGCTAAACAATGAGATATATTTCATGTCATTTTTGTGATAAATACTCTTCAGTCTTTTTGTGCAACTCCTAGCCCCTACATTTCTTAAGGAATTTCAACTAAATTGTCACTCATAACCCTTTGTTGTTGTATATTTTCATGTATAACTGAAAGCAGGAAAACTGTTCTGCTCTTTACTTTAATTAGGCCTGAACTATTTTTGAAGGGATTTCCCAATTATTTTTTTGCAGAAAACCTTGTTTTGTGACCATTCCTGACACAATCATGTATAGTAACATGTTTGCATGTATTTATAACCACAGGCCTAATAGCGAATTTTTGTAAAATCTCCATAGTGTTCTCAAATAGGGTTATCATTTAATTGAATTTGCTCATTAATTATTTTTATCTACTTATAATATTTCAGACACAACCTGTTCAAAGTGCCCGAATATCCATTACCAATCCCCAGTTTATAACCACTCAACAATATGTAAGTTATACAGTTTTGTTTTCATATAATTATTACTACCATTTAATGATAAATGTAAATTGTTTAACTGTATCAGAAATCTTCTTTTAGTTTGATTTCTGCATGAAGTCAAGGCATTTTTTGTCAAAGTTGTGAAGGGCCTGTTCATTTTGTGAAAAAAAAGCACGATATGTCATAAAATTGTGGAAAAAAAAGACATATTACTTGGCATTTCACGAGATTTTGAAACCGGAAATGGTTGATTATAATTACTGACCTGTGTAAAATCTGCTTCAAGTCGGTACATTAACCCGGTAAACATGTGCAAAAACCATTTAACTTTATTAAAACTATTTATGTGTTATTGCAATTAGCGTAAGTCAAGTTTTACTGGAAGGTAAACAATGTATTTCGAAGACAAAGTGCCAATATTTTGTGAAATCTCTTTTGAAATTGTGAAATTTTTCTGCTGCTTTGTGGAAAAAAAAGTGCAATTTTGAATTGTGAATGGGCCTTATACCAGCCCCTGTTCTAGAAGGGAAAAAAAGCCCTGGAAGTAATTTGTTGTTTTGTTGTTGATGGTTGTTTTAATAGACCATATTAGGTATTAGTTTTTTGTTGTTTTTTAACAAACTGTTTAAGGTATTTTCTTCAAACTTCAAAATATTTGTTGATTATTAAGGGGAGGTAAGTCTTCCATGACTTCTGCAGAATTATCCCCCCTTTTCTATGTTGCTTTTATTTAAATATCCTTATGTGGAAACAATATTAAATGAGTTCTATCTGCCACAACCATTGTCAGGTCCAATGAGAAAAGGGCAAGGGTGCTGGGATCTGTAATTACAAAACATAAAGTAGTATGTTAAAAAGAAGTGCAATGATTGTGATTAAAAGTGCAGTGGTGTAGGAACTTAAAAATTTGTTGATGCATCAGGATTTTTGCTTGTCACACACATTTTCCTGTGCAAAGGAATAGTGTAGGATACCCAGGGACCTGTTAAAACAAAACTTAAAACAGACCATTAGATCAAACTGCATTGACATAGGTACTCTAACCTTTATACGTAGAGGCACCTTAAGTCTTATCTATTGGCAATGATCTTTTTCAGTTAAAAAGTCAAAGGTCAGGGTCACAATTAATTTAACGGTTTTGATTAATATGTGAATGCCTCTTAATGAGAACTGCCTGTCAAGCCCATTTCAGGCCAAAGGTCAAGGCCAGTGTGGCCTAAATTAAAATTATCTCTTTATTTAGAAAAAGTGTAGTTAACTACCTTGAGAAAAGTTGTGTGTACTGCTCTTAGTATAGCTTTTGTTTTAAATATTTGAATTCCTAAATGTTTTAATTTTAGATGTTTAAACTTTTATTCTTTTTTCGTTGACAGATTCCAATACAGCAGACATCAGATGGTACATTTACGTTTCAGCTTACTCCAGGTTCTTATGGTAGCCAGCCAAAGTCTCCAGTCACCCCTCCAACAAGTATGACCTTGACCTCTGCTGGGGCACCAAGATATCCTTCCCCTCAGATCATTACACTCCCTAGCAGAACAACTGTTGCAAATACTACAAGTGCAAAACCAGTCAAGCCCACTTTGACAGTAGTGGATGCCAGGAACCAGCAACCAGTCCAAAGGGTGATACAGTCTGATGGTGGTAAACCAGTGGAACCAGTCAAATTAGGGCCTGGGCAAACACAGATAAGTTTCCAAGTTCCACTTAATTGGAATACACAAGGATCTAAATCTTTACTAGACAATTCAAAAACTGTATCATTAGTGCCATTAAACCCTTCAGAACCAAACTCACGTTCATTGTTGCAAGGGAATGAGACAATGACGTCACAGAGTGGTGTTGCAAATATAACTGTTCCAAAAGTTACTCTCTCTGGGGTGCCTAATACAGCACCTAAAACATACATTACTGGAAATAAAGTTTTTGGAAATTTAGGCACTGGTCAAGTGATTACACAAACAACAACTGGATTAATAGCAGTTACAAAACCTGGTCAAACAGCATCCATCGCCCGAATTCCAAAAGGTTCTTTCATGATCAGCAACAAACAGTATACAATAGTTCCATCAAGTACTGCCCCTGTTGTAACCCAACTTGTGAAAACTGAAAAATTAAGTAAAGGTAAAGTCACCATGGCTGAAGCTCAGATAATGTTACCCACTGGACCAGCTAAGATTTCATGGCCATTACAGACGCAAACTTGCTCTTCTGACAGTAAACACATCTTGATAACAACTCCTGGACAAGCATTGGCTGGAAAAACAGCAATTCCTAAAACTCATTTGGTTGTCACAACAAGTGATTCTAATATCAAAGTCTCCAACATTTCACCAGCAGTCCCAACAGCTAAAGTTGTAGAAGTTGGATCACCTAATAAAGTTGCCATGGCAACAGGAATTCAAGCTGTTGGGCAGAAAATGAATGCACCTACCACCAAAACAAGCATAATACCAGCCCAGAAGAACTGGGAGTTAGTAAAACAAAGTTCTCAATTGTTGCCAGGTAACTCATCAAAATCTCCTTCTCCTGTTGTTGGAAACAAAAATGGTAGTAAAGTTGAAGATAAAGTTCATAAGGATACAGTTACTGATGTTAAACAAGCAAATGATAAACATGTAAAAACTGATGTTGAAACAAAAGGAAAAACAATGGAAAATAAAGAGAAAAATGTTAATAAAGGAAGAAATGAAATGGATAATAGTGGTTTGTCAAAGAAACAAGTATCAAGGAGTGATTCAAGCAATGGAATAGAATCAAAGGAATTTAAGGAAGGAATTGAAACCACTCAGAATGACAACAGTAATGACAGTGTAGAAATAAAACTGGAGAATGTGAAAGATAACTCTGAAAAGATGGATGTTGATGATGTAAATATGGAATCTGTTAAAGAAGAGGCCGATCAAGGGGAAAGAAAAGATAAAAAGGAAGATTTTAATCCTATGGATGCTATGATATGGAATAATGGTATAGGGGAATTACCAGGCAGTAATTTAAAGGTAAGTTCTTGATTTAGTCTTAGATTCTGTATATACTAAATTTTGCCTGAGGACGCATAAACATAATTGATAGTAAACAAACATAAATTCATGTGCCAGCAAGTGATAACAGCATAAGCTGGTTGGATCCAGTCAATTGGAAGAAAAAAAAGGTCGTTACTGAAGTACTTGTGCCAAGTTGCTTAAGCCTCATAGTTAAGTACATAAATAACTAAAGGGATATATCTTTCTTTTGCTGTATCAGAGGTTACTATTTTGGTATGGTCACTGGATAAGGGTTTAATGTAATTGAATAAGTGATGTTGCCTTGATTGTAAAGTTAATGGAGTAAAAATTGAGATTTAATAGTGAATTTTTTTTCTTTTCATATTTAACCAGTTTCTAAATTATTATAGGAAAATACATTTGTATGTATAGAAATGCTCAGAAAAGTTAATAACGTATGTGATAATTATGTAAATATGTATACATATTGAAATGTAAATCTGAGTTTTCTGATATTTTTCCAGTTCCATTTGAATGATCTCGGTATTCTTGAAGTTTTGAATGATGACCTTGAATGTAATGAGACCTTGAATACAAGTGATGAGTTAGATCATATAGAGACTACAAATGACACAGAGAAAGAACCCAAACAAGAAAAGAAGACAGAAAAGCTAGAGCCGGGAAGTAAGCAGGGTAAAATGCTAAGTAATTCTGATTATATGATGATTGATCATATTTTTATATTTTTGAAATTTTATTGAAATTGTGTAATCTATGCTTAAGGTGAGCTATTGTAAGACCCGAATAATGGATGTCTGTTGTTAAAATTTTTATTTAAGGTAAACAACATATTACCCTGAACCACAATCCTGATGAAACTATACCAGACTTGTGTGATTCAGTATCAAATTTGCACAAATGGTTCTGGTCTGCTGAACAATATGGGCACCAAAGTTGAAAAACTTTTAAACAACATCTCAACTACTTGGTAGTTATCGATGAATCTGTGCAGCTGAATGATCAATCCTTTAAAAATTGCTCAAATGGCTCTAGTTTGTTGAACAAGAAGTGGCTGCCAGAGCTACATTGTAAAACTGAAGATGAAATTTAAATGACATCTTCTCCTCAGTCTCTTGGTCAAAAGTGATAAAAATATTTCCATGTACTGGCTTTTGATGAAACTAAACAGGAATGATCTTAAGGTGGTCCTCTTTAAGGATGTCATATCTCAAAATAGAAAAAGCCTATAAATGACATCCCTTCCTCAACCACTTGGAAGATTTTGATGAAACTGTCCAGCAATGATCAATATGGTCCTTCTGTAAGTGTCAGTGGTTTTGGTCTGTTAAACAAGATCAGAACAAGAGCTATATTTATAAATAAGCTTTAAATCACAACTCCTCCTGATTTGATACTTTGGCACAAGAATCCTTTAAGAAGAATTAACTGAATTTGACCTTGACCTTTAGTTTACCTTGAGATTTAAGGTCTCCATTGAGGCAATAGTGCTTTGATCAGACTTAAGCTTTGTACAAAATTACCTGAAATGAAAAATAAATTCATTTATCACATCATTGTAGAAACGTATCCAACACTGTAGTTTCAAAATTGAAAACAACAAATTAATGATTCCCTAAAAGTAACAAAATGATGTTATAAGCGTATTCTCAAATTTTTATGCCCCTGCCATATAGTGTTACCCTGTTCCGTCCTTCCGTCCTTCTGTCATTCCGTCATTCTGTCATTCCGTCATCATCAGTTTCCGTTCATTATCTTAGAAACTGTTGCACGTATTCAACTCAAATTTGACATATGGATATGTCATGAGAAAATACAGGTCAAGTTCGAATTTGGTCATGGTTCGATGATTTTTGGCAGAGTTATGCCCCTTTTACTTTAAAATAATATGAAATTTTCAGTTTCCGTTCATTATCTCCCCAACGGTACAACACATTCAACTCAAACTTGACATATGGATATGTCATGATAAAATACAGGTCAAGTTCGAATTTGGTCATGGTTCGATGATTTTTGGCAGAGTTATGCCCCTTTTACTTTGAAAATAATATGAAATTTTCAGTTTCCGTTCATTATCTCCCCAACGGTACAACACATTCAACTCAAATTTGACATATGGATATATCATGAGAAAATACAGGTCAAGTTCGAATTTGGTCATGGTTTGATGATTTTTGGCAGAGTTATGCCCCTTTCACTTTGAAAATAATATGAAATTTTCAGTTTCTGTTTATTATCTCCCCAACGGTACAACACATTCAACTCAAATTTGACATATGGATATGTTTTTGGAATGCCCAGGCCAAGTTTGAATTTGGTTATGGTTCAATGATTTTTGGCAGATTAATGCCCCTTTCACTTTGAAAATAATATGAAATTTACAGTTTCTGTTCATTATCTACCCAACAGTGTTACATATTAAGCTCAAATTTGACATATGGATATGTCAAAGGAAGGCACAGGTCAAGTTGGAATTTGGTCATGGTTCGATGATTTTTGGCAGAGTTATGTCCCTTTCACTTTGAAAATAATATAGATACATCTTAGGAATAAGCAGTTTAAGTTTGAATTTGGTCGTGGTTCAATGATTTTGGACAAACTTATCTTTCTTGAATGTTGGAAAAAGTTTGAACTTTCAGTTTCAGCACTCATACTTTTGTGGAAATGTATGTAGCCATTATTTTGGCTACAAATATGAAATACGCTTTTTTCAAAAGGTTAAGACTGAATAATTTCAGTGCCTTGAACATTGTATGAAATGGTTTGTGTTAACATTGAAAAGTTTTAAGGGCTTTGAACTTAAAATGAAAAAAATAATTTGTGCAAACAAATTTGGAACTAAATATTATAACATCTGAAATTTTGGCTGCATGCGGGGGCATCCGTGGCATGATGACACATTTCTAGTTTATAGTAGCAATTTCAAACTTAAGTATCTGTGTAACAACATACAAAATAATTCCGTGAATATGATATCAACAATATAATAAGCATATCCTCAATATTCATCAATAGTAATTTCTAACTGTCAGTATCTGTAATACTTGGTATATCATTTCTCTCTTTGAATGCATAATATGCATACATAGCATACATTGTTGTAACATTTTCAGAGCGAGAGCACATTAGAACATTAAATTTATGATTATTAAGATTATTAAAGAATCTTTGTCAATATAACTTTCTCTTTTCAAAGACAACTTTATACAAACTAAAACAAGATGATATTCATCGTGACAAAATTTACATATCCTTTGTTCTCTTAAAATATCCGGTATCTACCTTTTTCAATTTCTAAATCTTGGGAGGAAAACCGAAGTTTAGCAAGCATTTGAATTTTCAAATTGTCACTACTGTTAAGTAATATTCATTTTCAATATTGCGTTTAAACTGTCTATATGCATACAAATTAGAACTATCATTTATAATTGTTTGCCATTCTTGTAAATATTGGTCCCTTAATTTTTGTACAAAGGAATTTACAAAAAATTCTTCATTATTGACTGTTTGATTATACCAAATGTAACCAAAACCAATTTTTACACAAATTTACACAAATTTTTTCAGAGTTATACTTACACTCATTCAATATCCTCTATGTATCATATGGCGGGGATATTAATTCAACAAAATTGCTTGTAACATCTAAATGCATTGTTTTATTCAAAATCAATATCATTATTTAGTATATGTTTCACAATTGGTTTTTTGTTTTATTGATAATATTACATGAATGTAACAGTTTTATTATACACGTATATATGTGTTAACGGTTGGAGTAGAAAATAATCAAATAAACTATCAATGACTTGGCATGGAATCTGCTGGACTTATCAAAGGTGTACATATGTGTACATATGATGCTAAAATAACTGTGATTTAGTTTAAAATGTCATTAACATATGTTTTAGGAACCTCTAAAGAAGTAAGCAACAAGGATGAGATAAGTCAGTGTGAAAATTGTGCCGAATACGGTTTCACAACAGACTTTTATAAAGATGGCCGCTTTTGCAGTCAGACATGTATTCGAGCTTTCGAAAGCAAGTAAGTAAGAAATGTTTTGAAAACTCCGGGGATATTTTCTTTTTATTATTTTCATAAGGTCAATAAAGTCGTGAAGTTTTGTTTATTGGACATCCATATGTGAGACAACCTGTGTTAATTTGTACTGAGCATTTATACTAAACAATATATGACAAATTGTCGTACAAACTGACTTATTTTGTTGGTAGTCTGTCTTTCTTTCTGTCTCTCTGTCTGTTCATGCATTTTGGTACTTAAGTAGCTACCAGAACAATTATAATTATGTAACTGTACTTTTTCTTTGATGTCATTCATTCTGTAAGCTCTCTTATTCAAGATTCTTCAAAAATGATTGCTCCAAAATACTTTATAAGACACTATAACTGTAGATAAATTTAAAAGTCATTCTCACACTCTGCCCTCTTGTTTTAATATTTTCATTTTGGTTTATATTTTTGGCCTTTATTATGCCCCCGCCATGTAATGGCCAGGGCATATAGTGTTACCCTGTTCCGTCCTTCCGTCATTCTGTCATTCCGTCATCATCAGTTTCCGTTCATTATCTCCCCAACGGTACAACACATTCAACGCAAATTTGACATATGGATATGTCATGAGAAAATACAGGTCAAGTTCGAATTTGGTCATGGTTCGATGATTTTTGGCAGAGTTATGCCCCTTTTACTTTGAAAATAATATGAAATTTTCAGTTTCCGTTCATTATCTCCGAAACGGTACAACACATTCAACTCAAATTTGACATATGGATATGTCATGAGAAAATACAGGTCAAGTTCGAATTTGGTCATGGTTCGATGATTTATGGCAGAGTTATGCCCCTTTTACTTTGAAAATAATATGAAATTTTCAGTTTCCTTTCATTATCTCCCCAACGGTACAACACATTCAACTCAAATTTGACATATGTATATGTCATGAGAAAATACAGGTCAAGTTCGAATTTGGTCATGGTTCGATGATTTTTGGCAGAGTTATGCCCCTTTTACTTTGAAAATAATATGAAATTTTCAGTTTCTGTCATTATCTCCCCAACGGTACAACACATTCAACTCAAATTTGACATATGGATATGTCATGAGAAAATACAGGTCAAGTTCGAATTTGGTCATGGTTCGATGATTTTTGGTAGAGTTATGCCCCTTTTACTTTGAAAATAATGTGAAATTTTCAGTTTACGTTCATTATCTCCCAAACGGTACAACACATTCAACTCAAATTTGACATATGGATATGTCATGAGAAAATACAGGTAAAGTTCGAATTTGGTCATGGTACGATGATTTTTGGCAGAGTTATGCCCCTTTTTCTTTGTAAATAATGTGAAATTTTCAGTTTCCGTTCATTATCTCCCCAACAGTACAACACATTCAACTCAAATTTGACATATGGATATGTCATGAGAAAATACAGGTAAAGTTCGAATTTGGTCATGGTACGATGATTTTTGGCAGAGTTATGCCCCTTTTTCTTTGTAAATAATGTGAAATTTTCAGTTTCCGTTCATTATCTCCCCAACAGTACAACACATTCAACTCAAATTTGACATATGGATATGTTTCTGGAATGCACAGGCCAAGTTTGAATTTGGTTATGGTTCAATGATTTTTGGCAGAGTAATGCCCCTTTCACTTTGAAAATAATATGAAATTTACAGTTTCTGTTCATTATCTACCCAACAGTGTTACATATTCAACTCAAATTTGACATATGGATATGTCAAAGGAATGGGCAGGTAAAGATTGGAATTTGGTCATGGTTCGATGATTTTTTGGCAGAGTTATGTCCCTTTCACTTTGAAAATAATATAGATACGTCTTAGGAATAAGCAGTTTAAGTTTGAATTTGGTCATGGTTTAATGATTTTGGACAACCTTATCTTTCTTGAATATTGGAAATTTTTTGAACTTTTTGTTTCAGCACTCATACGTTTGTGGAAATGTATGTATAGCCATTATTTTGGCTACAAATATGAAATATGCTATTTTCAAAAGGTTAAGACTGAATAATTTCAGTGCCTTGAATATTGTATGAAAATGGTTTGTGTTAACACTGAAAAGTTTAAAGGGCTTTGAACTTAAAATGAAAACAATAATTTGTGCAAACAAATTTGGAACTAAATATTATAACATCTGAAATTTTGGCTGCATGCGGGGGCATCCGTGGCATGTTGACACATTTCTAGTTGGAAATGATTTAACTTTCTGCAATCAGAATTAAAGCAGGCCAGCTTGCTGAATAAAACCTGGAATTTATTTTTGAAAAATCTGTCAATTGTTTTGTCTTAAATCTGTAAAACAAGCTGACACACTAACATCTGTTCTATTTCTGACATTAATTGTTCCCGTGATATTGATTTTATAAATTATTTTATATTTCAAATGTTTCCTATATTTAACATATTCTCTGCATAAATTTCATTTTCATTTTTCGTTAGCTAGTTTACTATGATTGTACTGTATTAAAAATGTTGTCTAATATTCCAATTGGAATATAGATATTCTAGAATGCCTGATAGAATAACTGATATTGTGTATTTTATCTTTGTTTCAAGAAATGTTTCAGTTAAAAAAATTTAAGTTAATCTTACAGAAAGCAAACTTCTGACATTAATTCTAAAGTCATTTTTGCAGGAAAAAAAACAGTTAAAAGTGTATGAAATATGTGCTTATGTGTGGATTTTGAATAAATTATGCTTGGAGGAATTTCTATCATTGGTAAATTTGTGTGTTTTGATTTAAAATGTTCATCAACAATATTTTAAAGTTAAACAAGAAATAATTGTAGCAGTGCATAAAAATTAAAAATCTTTATTTTGAAGATCTTATTCCTGAAACAAAGGAAAGGTTGAAACTTTTATGTGTGATGATTTTCAGACATATGAGGGAAGTGAAAAAGCAAGGAACTATGTCAAAGATGATACTTAACATGAAAAAAGGGAAGAAAAAGTTGCTGTTAAAAGATGGCGTACCCAAAGATAGAGATGTCAAAGCTGATCCTCCTACTCCAGGTTAGTGAACAAAATTGTTTATTTAAAATTTAGTTTATTACAGAATTTATTTTAGTTTGATTGTTTAGGAAACTATAAGCTTATAGATAGTCGAAGGTCGGCATGAGACAACGACCACCAATGTCATTTTACAAGTGACATCAAAAGGCATTAACATTGTCAATGATGTTAAGAATAAAAAAGTGAATTGCCCTTGAAATGTTAACAGGGCTTCCATTAGGTTTCAACAATTGTAGGTTAAAAGACTGCAAATTGACATTGGAAGTCACATTTTATAGGTAATGAGGGGAAAGTATTATATTTTGGAAGCCACAAGCCAAAATCAAGGAGTAAATGACTCCCAAACTTCCACTTTTGGAAGCCCTACGTTAAAAATAAATATGAATAGGTACTGAAAGCAAATTTCTGAATTTTATAAAATTGAATATCCTAAAGAATAGAAATGTCAATTTTAAAGAAATAATGAGTGGCATTCAGTGTTGTTTTCCAATACAGACATTATTACCCTCTTGAATCTGTTCCTAGAACCAACCAGTATTGAGCAATGAGTTAAAAGTTTCTTGCTCACTGAAACAACAGCTTGCCCGTGACAGACGTTCAACCCAGGTGGATAGTGATCCTTTGATTACTAATCCTATGCATTACCCACTTGGCCATGCTGCAACATACTGTGTAATTGCTACAAAATACTGTGTAATAACACATATATTGTGCATTATTTCATACAAATCCTGATGGGCCGTTACCTAACACATGTTCCTAAATTATGTTGTTTTACTACTTTGTATAACTCGTCTTCTTGACCACCTAAATAAAATGAAACTGTGGTCACCTTTGCTTTATCTACAGAAATCACTATGTTTAGATCTACATAAGATTTTTTTTTCAATATTTAGTTACAAAATATTTAAGATTTACTGTTTAGTTAAGAGTTCAGACACTATGCTTTTTAAATGTAACTGAATGTTTAAAAGAATAATTTTGATTTTCTCATTTTATTGTAGGCAAGAAATCCAAAGCGTTTGTTTGGACAAGATATCTTGAACAGGAAAAAGCTGTAGAAGCCCCAGCAAGACTTTTTAAAAATGTAAGTTAAGAATATTCTATTGGGGTTATTTGGGAGCATAGTCAGGGGAGAGAATACTGTTTTTAAATTCTTGAAGAAACAGTTGCTATTTTGAAATGGCTAAAGTAAAATATAATAGTTTAAATAAATGTATGAGGTCATTCTTACTTTAAGGCACACTAAAAAGTTTTCTTGTATCTTTTCAGCCATTCCCCTCGGTGAAAAATAATTTCCGTATTGGAATGAAATTGGAAGGTGTCGACCCAATGCACCAATCAAAGTTCTGTGTTCTCAGTGTAGCGGAGGTCAGTGGGTACAGAGTGAGGCTACATTTTGATGGTTATTCTGAATGCTTTGATTTCTGGTTAGATATTGACTCTCCTTTTATATTTCCTGTCGGATTTTGTGAAAAACTTGGGAAAACTCTCCAGCCACCTAAAGGTAAGGAACATGAAACCTATCTTCAGAGGTGTCTTGTGTTCTTCATGTGCATGTATTATAATATAAAAGTTAATAACTATGTGAATAACTCATTTTTTGGGGATCTATTATACAGTTTTGAATGCTATGAATTTGATATTATATTGCTTGACAAAATGATTTTAGTTGTTGACTTGGTGTTTGCACTGAACTGCCTGAGTTGGCATGAAATAATGTGAAAAGGGGTATTTTTGTCTTGTATAAAGTATGAACTGCCTGAAAAATTTGACCATAAGGCTTAACTATGATATTTAAACTTAAAGCTCTTTCTGAACAATAGAAATAATGAAAAAACAGAAAATAGTTATTTTGATTGTTTTACACTGATAGACTTGACATTTCTGAATTTAATTTTAGTCGTCAGTCAAAAAATTATGGTGATGTATGTTTATTTATTTTATTATTTATATTTAAAATATGAACTTTACTTTCCCAGGATTCAGTGTGGATGAGTTCTCATGGACATCTTACTTGAAGTTAACCAAGGGTGTACCAGCACCAAAATCTCTTTTCTCAAATCAGCCAGTTCAGGTAACATTTCTGTCTTATCTGTCATATTAGAATTAATTTATGAAGCAAGTTATTTAAATTATATTTAGTTAATCTATATTATTGAGACTGCTTCCTCGAGCTAACAGTTACTAGTTCCATATGAAAAACCAAGTTGAGACCCATATATGGCTTAAACACCCCATTCTTGGTTTGAGTGGCAGAGTTCTTAGCCCTAATGTATTTGCTCATACTTCAATGGACTTGAAACAAAGATTTAAATCTCAAAGAAGAAAAATCAGAAATTGCTGATGAAACTTAAAGTTAAAAAATTGCTATTTATTTTATTTTTTTCTGTAATGCCAAACTGTTCTCTTTTGATTTATATTTCAAAATAGGCATTTATTAAGATTTTAGAAAAGTGAAAAAAAGATGATATAGGCCTAACATGCTAAATTCTGTGACAAATTGGCAGTAATTATCAGTAAATGCATTCTGTATGGTTTCAGTCTGTAACCCCAAACTTGTTCCGTGTTGGTAGCAAGCTGGAAGCTGTAGACAAGAAGAATTCCTCATTGATATGCGTGGCGAGTGTAGCAGATACTCTCGGTGACAAAGTTCTGATACATTTTGACAGCTGGGAAGATAACTACGACTACTGGTGTGATATGACATCACCATTTATACATCCAATCGGATACTGTGAGGAGACTGAACTAGTACTGTCACCACCTCTAGGTTAGTAACCTCTAAATTTAATGTGAAGAAAATGAACTACGTTAGTAATTACTAAATTCAAAGTAAAGTGAATGATATAGTGCTGTTGCCACCTCTAGTCTAAGGTCACAGTTTCCTAGCCTCTTGTTATTCAATGCAAATCATAGAGTTCATAAGAATCTGTGTAATGACCATGAAGTTTTGATGAATACAATTTGTCCTTTAACAATGATTAAAATGAGGTATGTGATGAAATTGCCAGTATCATGTCCTAAAACTGTAACATATTACTTTGGTCCAGAAAGCAGACTTAATTTTAACAGCATGTAATATGTAATACTGGTTCAACTGGTGTAAAACTTCATTAGGTTTGAAAAATTCATTAGGAGAGGATTATGAATTAATAAAAGTATATTATAAAATAATTATCTCTTATTTAAACCAAATAAAAAGCAGCTATAATTGTAAGAATGCAACTGATGTACTTGTAACTAGATTTCAATTTTATCGATTATTTTGTTATTTCAGATTGGAAAGATGTAACTTTGTTCTCGTGGGAAAAGTTCCTTAATAAAACAAAATCACAGCAAGTGCCTGCAAGGGCCTTTAAACCTGTAAGTGAATCACATGATTATTATAATGTTAAAGATCTAATCGAAGCTTTTCTGTTTGATAATTACTAGCAAGAAGGCTTTGTTTAAAATAGACTTGGAAATTCATATACATGTAGATTGCTTATTACAGCATTCCTATCTCCTGGAATACAAACTGAAATGTAATCGTAGCGTTTATTTTATACTACTCTACAGATACAGAATGAGTCTCACATACACTAGTGGATTATACACCAAGGTCTTTTCAGATTGATGGTACTACATTGGTGCCAGAAAGTAATGCACAAAGGGTCACCCGAGGTCTTCCTCCACCAGTAAAGCTGGAAAGTCATATTCTGACCTTTACAATGTCAGGATGACATCAAATCCAACATAACAAATAAACTATATTAGCATCAGAAAGTTTAAAATGTTCTTAACATGCAGACTTTATTGGATCTGCCCATCTTTTGAGGATTTCGGTATCAAAATACACAATTTGAGCTACCAAGGGTATAGAGCCTAGCAGACTCTTTGGATTGCACACTGGCCGGGCTCTATACTGGGGAAAGGGATTTCATTTTTTCAGTGCCAGCAAAAAAAAAGGTTTAAATTTGGGATCTTTTGAATCTATTCCTACAATTTCAAACAACCTATTGTTTTTTGAGCCAAAAGAGGTTAAAGTAGTAGAAAAACAAACCCCTCTGGTCAGGGTGGACAATAGAGGAAGTAGAAAATTACATGGTTAAAATCCACTTTGACGGCTGGTCCGACATCTACGATTACTGGTTAGAAGACGATTCCCCCGACCTTCATCCTCCGGGTTGGTGCGCCAAGACCGGTCATCCTCTTGTACCACCTATTAGTAAGTATACTGTCTATGTAATAGATTTGAGATAGCAAAATAAATTTAGTTCTTTTAAAAGAATCTAGCATCTGTGGAACAGATGAATTTTCCCTGTCATTATTAGTTGGGTTATTTTTATGTGATGGTTGTGTTTAAAAACGTTATATCAAAATTAATTGCTCATTAGTATCCACGTTTTCTATAAACTTATTTATTTGAACGCACACACATTTTTAGCTCACCTGTCACAAAGTGACAGGGTGAGCTTTTGTGATCGCTTTTCGTCCGGCGTCCGTCCGTCCGTCCGTCGTCCGTCGTCCGTCCGTAAACTTTTGCTTTAAATGACATCTCCTCATAAACCACTGAGCCAATTTCATCCAAACTTCACAGGAATGTTCCTTTGGTGGTCACCTTTAAAAATTGTTCAAAGAATTTAATTCCATGCAGAGAACTCTGGTTGCCATGGCAACCGAAAGAAAAATCTTTAAATATCTTCTTTTAAACAACCCTAAGAGCTAGAGCTTAGATATTTGGCATGAAACATCTTCTAATGAGTGTCTACCAAGTTTGTTCAAATAAAAGCCCTGGGGTCAAAATTGGCCCCGCCCCGGGGGTCATTGATTTTCCTATATGCATATAGTAAAAAACTTAAAAGATCTTCTTTTAAAGAACTGTAAGAGCTAGAGCTAAGATTTTTGGCATGGAACATCTTCTAGTGAGTGTCTACCAAGTTTGTTCAAATAAAAGCCCTGGGTCAAAATTGGCCCCGCCCCGGGGGGTCATTGATTTTCCCTATATGCATATAGTAAACACTTAAAAAATCTTCCTTTAAAGAACTGTAAGAGCTAGAGCTTAGATATTTGGCATGAAACATCTTCTAGTGAATGTCTACCAAGTTTGTTCAAATAAAAGCCCTGGGGTCAAAATTGGCCCCGCCCAGGGGGTCATTGATTTTCCCTATATGCATAAAGTAAAAACTTAAAAAATCTTCTTTTAAAGAACCCAAAGAGCTAGAGCTTAGATATTTGGCATGAAACATCTTCTAGTGAATGTCTACCAAGTTTGTTCAAATAAAAGCCCTGGGGTTAAAATTGGCCCCGCCCTGGGGGGGTAATTGATTTTCCCTATATGCATATAGTTTAAACTTAAAAAATCTTCTTTTAAAGAACCGTAAGAGCTAGAGCTTAGATATTTGGCATAAAACATCTTCTAGTAAATGTCTACCAAGTTTGTTCAAATAAAAGCCCTGGGGTCAAAATTGGCCCCGCCCCAGGGGGTCATTGTTTTTCCCTATATGCATATAGTAAAAACTTAAAAATCTTCTTTTAAAGAACTGTAAGAGCTAAAGCTTATATATTTGGCATGAAACATCTTCTAGTGAATGTCTACCAAGTTTGTTCAAATAAAACCCCTGGGGTCCAAATTGGCCCCTCCCCAGGGGTCATTGATTTTCCTTATATGCATATAGTAAAAACTTATAAAATCTTCTTTTAAAGAACCCAAAGAGCTAGAGCTAAGATATTTAGCATGAGACATGTTCTAATGGGTGTCTACCAAGTATGTTCAAATAAAAGCCCTGGGGTCAAAACTGGCCCCGCCCCGGGGTCATTGATTTTTTTATATACATAGCAAAAACTTAAAAATCTTCTTTGAAAAAACCCAAATAACTAGAGTTTAGATATTAAGCATGAAACATCTTTAAGTAAATATCTACAAAGTTTGTTCAAATAAAAGCCCAGGGGTCAAAACTGGCCCTGCCCGAGGGGTGTCATTGTTTTTTACTCTATGTGTATAGTAAAAACTTAAAAAATCTTCTTTTAAAAAACCCAATGAGCTAGAACTTAGATGTTTTGCATGAAACATCTTCTTATGGGTGTCTACCAAGTCTGTTCAAATAAACAAAATAAAAGCCCTTGGGTAAAAATTGGGCCGGGGGGGGGGGGGGGGGCTATATACAGGTGAGCGACCTCAGGGCCATCATGGCCCTCTTGTTAAATGATGATCAACAGTATTGAGCAAGTAAAACAGGTTCTCAAAATTTATAACTATTTTTTTTTAACCTGACTCAGAACATTTTATAAATGGAATCGTTATTAGTCATATTATTGATACTATGTTTTACTTCAATTTTTTCCAGCTCCCTCAGATTTAGTGGTAACAACCGGACCTGGTGTTTGCCCTACCCCAGGCTGTAAAGGGATTGGACACATTAAAGGTCCAAAATATTCCGGTCATCACAGGTATATTATAATCTGCTTTAAAATGACATTTTAACAACTCTACTTGAAATCTTTTGAGTTGTAATGTTGTTATTCATTACCCATTTTAGTACAACAGTCAGTATCAAAGCATTGTGTTTGTTAAATATTATGTAGTAAGGTTTTTATATAGGTTTTTATATTAATATAGCACAATGGAATTGTAATATCTTCTAGTTATATGAATTCTTTAGATAATAAAGCAGTACTTGTATGATTTGTTTTGTTTAACAAAGTTTACACCCATTATAACTTGACTGAAATGCTTTTCACCATGTGATGTGTTGTGTGCATGAAACAGGTCAAAATTCAGTCACAGAAAAAAGCTAAATGATTTTTATCATTTGATGTCATTTCCTTATAAACATTATTATGTCTTATTCTTTAGTACATTTGGCTGCCCATACTCAGACATCAACATGAACAAGGAGTCGGTTCTCGGTGACAGATTGAACTCTGTAGCTATCAGGCCTGAGGATACGGTATCCAGGCATTATGATGAACACAGAACATCGCCAGATTCTAAGTATGATAATATGATCAGTTTATATAAATTAACCTCATTAAAAGTTAAATAAACATTTCTTACCTTGCATGTTAAACTGGTCATTGTTAGTTTTAATGAATTTTAGTAAAAAATTACTGAGATGGAAGTATTCAGTATTGAGCCTTGTCTGATTTTAAGATTTTAATGCCAACTGGCATCAGTGCATGTAGCTTTGTTACTATCAAGTGCTTAGATCTGAAGTGTTTTAACCATCATTATCTTGTATAAATTTTCAGTGCAGTCTGTATACACTTATTTTCAAGTGATTTGTTTGTAAATCATCAATGTACCTATATCCACTTAATAAGAATGATATCTGATAAAAGATAATCATATGAAGTTTGCAGGTCATACCGCGACATTCCAGCTTTACTGGTGGAGGAAAACCTCAGGTGCCCTTCCATGCATTATTTCAGGCACGAACGTGTACCTGAGTAGAACCACCGACGTTCCGTAAGCTAGCTGGAAAAATTTTTCTTAGAATAGTTAAAATATATTAACTATTCTATCATTAAATACAAATGAATTATGATATACAGTAGAACTTCGGTAAGTCGAAGTTCAAGGGACTTGCGTAAAAAGTTCGACACATCGGGACTTCGACTCATATATACGTCCGAATTTTTGCAACAAAAATTTTTTCTCCACAACAGGATGTTTACAAATAACATTACAAATGGCATAACAAAGAAAAAGGGTGATAATTAAACCGTCTTATAGTACGGATCAGATACCATACAGTTTCATGCGTGTTTAAAACAAAACAAGAATCTTTTTTATTTTTTCAACAAAATTTATTTATTTATTTATTCATTTATTTATGTACAACAAATCAGGAAAAAATAAACATGATTGTGCTGCTCGATATCCATAACGGATCTAATTCATAGAGGTTCATATTCGAATCATATGAAAGTGATATTGTTAAAAACATATTAAAGGATATTTTCACACATAGAAATGCATGCAAAGGCTGTTAAAACACGCGGCTGTGTGTTAACACCTGTCAGATAAGATGATCGGCAATCATCTACGCGGGCAGAAAAGGTGTGAAAATTATCTCGAGATCAAAGGTGTCAAAATTATTGAAGGACTGCGACTTTTTTGTGGTAAATTGCACTTGATTTATTCTATACGAACCAGGAAAAAATTTGACACTAAAATTTTAACTCATTTGTAGGATTTTATAAGGAATATATAGGGGAAAACCTCGGGACTTTCATTTTACTTTGACACATCAAGAAAATCAACTAATCGAAGTTCAACTCACCGAAGTTCTACTGTATAGACAAAAATATATTTTGCCTAATATCACATTTTAAAATGAAATGAGATTTCATTATTGAAGTCAGATTGGAATTAAAATCTAGACTAAATTATTTGTTTTGATTGTTATTTAGAAAACACACAGATTCTGGACAACATGGTGATATCCCAAAGAAACTTGGAAGAGGAAGAAAACCAAAGTAAGTTGATAATTATAATTGAATTACTATTGAGCTTAATTGGTTTAGAACTGTTTTTCACTTGTAACTTTTAAAACAAACTTTAAATTCTTTAACAATATCGTTCAAAATGACATTACATTTGGAATTGGAACACTGACTAATATGGGAGATCTTGTTTATTTTACGCACATGTTTTCTATAACATAAAGTGTCACAATATGAGAGAGGTCTAAGTTGTCTTACTTTATGGCCCGGACTAATTGAAGAAATCATCACAGTAGCCTGTAAAGGGTTGTTGGTTCTACTCCAGTGCCCATTTGTGCTTGAAATAATACATGGAGGGCACTGTCATAAAATTATAACAAAATAAGGTGCAGAGTTATGGTAATTTCTAAAAAAAAAAAAAAACTACAGCAACTGAACCATTGATAATGATTGTTTATATACATGTTTATAGCATTCAAAACATATTTTCAATATTGTTTTAAGGAGTTATTATGTAGCCTTAGAAGAACAGAAAGTGGCAAGAGAAAAAGAGAGATTAGAGAAAGGTAAATTTTATAAGCTTGAATAATATTAAAATATTAAATTGTTTCAACTATTTATGAAAAACAACAGGAAGATAATTTATAATCTGCTTCAGTAAAGAGGATGGTTAATTTTTAGCTGTTCATTCGGAAAATACGATAAGCTATTGTGTTCACTGCTGCATTGGCATTGCCATCACACAGTTTTTGTGTGCAAGTTGGTTATCTCCAAAACTACTGAAGAGAATGGGTTGAAACTTCACACATTTTTTCTCTGTAATTATCTTACAGATACAGGTCCCATAATTCTTAGTTATCTTTTTACAGTGTTATACTGTCAAGAACTGAGAATAGCCGAGATTCTGTCTAACTGTCAGTTCATGTTTATTTAAATGTCACTGGAAATGTAAAAAAATCTTAAACTTTATAGTCAATAGTATCTGTCATAAGTGATAATAGTCTATTATTTAAACTAGGGTAGAAATAGCAATCATTCTACTGCTGTTTAGTTTAAAGAATGGTATTTAATCATGTACCAAATCAGTGGCAAAGAAAACAAAAAAGAAAACAAAATTAAACTGATTTTGAAATTGAGTAAAATAATCCATTTTATTTGGATTTCTTTGGCTTTCAAAAGTCTTAGTCATGCCCTTGTTTTATAGAGAGAGATATAAATTTTGATGGGAATGCCAGTAATGTTAATGTCATAATAAATAATTTATAAATATTAATATTTTCAGAAGAAACATTAAGACAAGGAATCCATAATTCGGTGTTCTCATCTTCCATGATCTCAACACCTAAACCAGATGTGCCATTATGTTGGGAACAACATTGTAAATTGTTGCCAGGGGTAACCAGTATCCGTGGCAACGATGTTAACAAGTGGACCATAGATCAAGTGGCAGCTTTTATAAATACTCTCCCAGGGTGTGAAGAGCAGGCAAAACTTTTCAAAGAGGAGGTAAAAAATGAGATTATTTGCATTTTCTTTTCTGTGTAAGGCTATGTATAAATTTATGAGATAAGATGTGCATACAAAGTTTAAAATAATATGAAACATTGTCTTTATTCTTCTTAGTTTTATTGCTATTACTAAATAGCACAAGATTTTGTAGAAAATAGAATTAAAGCAAAAGATGTTTGTTTGGTCACTTTAGTCAATGCAAAATGATATAAAAGAAAACAGGAGATGTGAAACATGTTTTAAAAAAAGGTTGATACTTCAACAAGGCATGTAAAATTATTTCTTGGTGAAAATTCAATAACAAAATTGATAGTGAATTTGATTTTATGTAAAACAGTAAATATTATTTTGAACTTGTAGTTAAAATTTTTATGCAAAACTGTATTAGTGAAAGATCTCTTTGTTTCAGACATAAAAATTGACAGCCTGATTGGCAATGAAATCTGAACAACAATCAAAATTCGTTCGTCAAAGTTTTAAGTTTTGTCTTTTTTTCTATTACAGCAAATAGATGGAGAGGCATTCCTGTTGTTAACTCAGTCAGATATTGTGAAAATAATGAACATTAAACTTGGCCCTGCATTAAAAATATTCAACAGTATCGTCATGTTCAAGAACTCAATAGAAGTATAGCACTCAAACTTTGTCATGGACTTGTCAGACGTAATGGAAATTTGTATCATCATGTCTATTTTTAGATACAATTATAATACAATATTTGATGTGAAACAAGACAAGCTTAAACCAAAATAAAATAGTCTTTATTTTTTTTAATTTTAATTAATGGAAGAAATTAATTTTTTATTAAATGGCAGGTGCAGATAGAGTTTTCATGATTTTTTTTTATGCCCCCGCCATGTAATGGCCGGGGCATATAGTGTTACCCTGTTCCGTCATTCCGTCCTTCCGTCCTTCCGTCCTTCCATCCTTCCGTCCTTCCGTCCTTCCGTCATTCTGTCATTCCGTCATCATCAGTTTCCGTTCATTATATTAAGAACGGTTGGACATATTCAACTCAAATTTGACATATAAATATGTCATGAGAAAATACAGGTCAAGTTTGAATTTGGTCATGGTTCGATGATTTTTGGCACAGTTATGCCCCTTTTACTTTGAAAATAATATGAAATTTCAGTTTCCGTTCATTATCTTAAGAACAGTTGGACACATTCAATTCAAACTTGACATATGGATATGTCATGAGAAAATACAGGTCAAGTTTGAATTTGGTTATGGTTCGATGATTTTTGGCAGAGTTATGCCCCTTTTACTTTGAAAAAAATATGAAATTTTCAGTTTCCGTTCATTATCTCCCCAATGGTACAACACAATCAACTCAAACTTGACATATTGATATGTCATGAAAAAATACAGGTCAAGTTCGAATTTGGTCATGGTTCGATGATTTTTGGCAGAGTTATGCCCCTTTAACTTTGAAAATAATATGAAATTTTCAGTTTCCATTCATTATCTCCCTCAAGGTACAACACATTCAACTCAAATGTGACATATGGATGCGTCAAAGGAATGTGCAGGTCAAGTTCAAATTTGGTCATGGTTCAATGATTTTAGGTAGAGTAATGCCCCTTTCACTTTGAAAATAATATGAAATTTACAGTTTCTGTTCATTATCTACCCAACAGTGTGTCACATATTCAACTTTAATTTGACATATGGATATGTCAAAAGAATGGGCAGGTCAAGTTGGAATTTGGTCATGGTTTGATGATTTTTTGGCAGAGTTATGTCTCTTTCACTTTGAAAATAATATAGATACATCTTAGGAATAAGCAGTTTAAGTTTGAATTTGGTCATGGTTCAATGATTTTAGACAAACTTATCTTTCCTGAATGTTGGAAAAATTTTGAACTTTCAGTTTCACCACTCATTCTTTTAGCCATTATTTTGGCTACAAATATGCAATATGCTATTTCTAAAAGGTTAAGACTGAATAATTTCAGTGCCTTGAACATTGTATGGAAATGGTTTGTGTTAACATTGAAAAGTTTTAAGGGCTTTGAACTTAAAATGAAAAAAAATAATTAATGCACCATCTGAAATTTTGGCTGCATGCGGGGGCATCCGTGGCATGATGACACATTTCTAGTTGGGTCAAGGGGTCAAAGGTCAAGGTCACATTGACCTTGTAGGTAAAAACGGTTTCCAATCAATAACTTAAAGAAATAAGAAATCTTAGGCCTAGGAACTAACTTGGTACGGTGGTTGTGCGTAACCAGCAATTGACCCCAATCGATTTTAAGGTAAAGGGGTCAAAGGTTAAAGTCACATTGACCTTGTAGGTAAAAAACGGTCTCGGATCAATAACTAAAGAAAGCTTAGGCCTAGGAACTTCAAACATGGTACTGTGATTGTTCATGACCATTAGATGACTCCTATTTATTTTGGGGTAAAGGGGTTAAAGGTCAATGTCAAATTGACTGTGTAGGAAAAAATGGTTTCTGATCAATAACTTGATAAGCTATTGGCCTTTAAACTTTGTAGGTGCATTGGTCTTTGCCAGAAGATGGCCAGATTGATTTTTGGGTCAAAGGTCAAGGACTGGACAACCCATGGACCCTTGACCTTGAAGCTGTACATATGCATTGCTTTAGGTCAGAAGATAAACTCAATTTTTGGGGTTAAGGGTCAGAGATCAAGATCATATTGACCTTATATATAAGTAAAAATGCTTTCTAATCAATATCCCAACAACTCTTTGGCTTTACCTTCAAACTTCACAGGTGCATTGGTCTTGGCCAGTAGATAACCCTGATTGATTTAAGGGTCAAAGACAGTTGTATGTAGAGATGGTTTTTGACCAATAACTTAACAACTCAAGTTGCCTTGGTTGATTTTTTTTAGCTCGACTATTCGCAGAATAATCAGTCACCCATTTGTCGGCTTCGGAGTCCCTGTGGTTAAGTTTTTGTGTGTAAGCTGGTATCTCCATAACTTCTGAAGGGAATGGATTGAAAAACTTTACACACTTGTTCTATGTGATTATCTAACATGATTGGCACCAGTCCCATAACTCTGATTTGCTTTTTTGCATAATTATGCCCTTTTTCAACTTAGAAATTCTTGGTTAAGTTTTTTGCTTGTAAGCTGGTATGTCCATAACTACTGAAGGGAATGGATTGAAACTTCACACACTTGTTTCTCTTTGATTATCTAACATGATTGACACAAGTCCCATAACTCTGATTTTTTTTTGCATAATTATGCCCCTTTTTCGACTTAGAAATTCTAGGTAAAGTTTTTGCGTGCAAGCTGGTATCTCCATAACTACTGAAGGGAATGGATTGAATCTTCACACATTTGTTCTCTGTGATTATCTAACATGATTGACACAAGTCCCATAATTCTGGTTTGCTTTTTTGCATAATTATGACCCTTTTTCAACTTAGAAATTCTTGGTTAAATTTTTGCTTGTAAGCTGGTATCTCCATAACTACTGAAGGGAATGGATTGAATCTTCACACATTTGTTCTCTGTGATTATCTAACATAATTGACACAAGTCAAATAACTCTGATTTGCTTTTTTGCATAATTATGCCCCTTTTTCGACTTAGAAATTCTAGGTAAAGTTTTTGCGTGTAAGCAAGTATCTTAAAAACTTTGTAAAGGAATGGATTGAAACTTCACACACTTGTTCTCTGTGATTATCTAACATGATTGGCACAAGTCCAATAACTTTGATTTTTTTTTTTTGTATAAGTATGCTCCTTTTTGGGCTTAGAAATTCTAGGTAAAGTTTTTGCTTGTAAGCTGGTATCTCCATACCTTCTGAAGGGTTTGTGCTTTTTTTTGAACAATTTTAAGCATTCATAATAATAAAGCAGTGATTAATTCGATAAAACATTTTAATAACAAGCCTTTGTACCTTTTCGGTCAATTTTATGTATTCATATAGGTCAGCATTATTATACTCAATGAAACTCCCTTATGACAACTTTTCGATCAGTCGAGCATTACTATCCTCTGACAGTTCTTGTTTATTAATCTAAAAATGCTTTTGGTATACACATTTTAAGGTCTTATGTAATATAACAACTTGGCTGTCATTAATGAGGCCTAATTGATTAATAAAATTTACGCATATGTTATTTGGTATGATTTGTGATAACTTTGTCATAAAATTGCTGTACACAACCTTTCTGTCACAATTACCTAGTGACTAGTCATGACCAATATTTAACCCTTACTTATTTTTGGTCACTAGGTCAAAAGTCAGTCATAATAACCTGATCACATGACTTATTGGGTGCCGATAGGGGGCATATGTGTTTTACAAACATATCTTGTTTCTGATTAGATTTTGCAAGTTAGATTTTTTTTTTGCTTTTTTCTTGTTTTCTAGTTTTTGGCTTAATGCTTTTTTACCTTTATACATGTACCTATAATAAGACATTTAGAGATTGTTACATTCAGAGATTGCTATCAGTTATTTGGATTATTTGTTCCTATATGTACTTGTGTAGCAGTATTCTTCGTTCAACTAGGAGTTGCTTCCCTTTGATTAATGAACCCTGGCAGATAGTTTTGAAGGGAAGTTTTTTATCACTTTGTATGTCTTTATGCATTAAAACAGTAAAACTATCAAGTTTGATATAAATATTGCCAGTTATTACTCATGACAGTGTAGTATAGGTCACTGATTGTTGATATATAGTCCCTCACTGCTGCAGGCTCGAATCTAGAAAACAATTCCGGATAGCTTGCATCACAAGGACTTCTCTTACTCAAGTGTCTATTTATGTATAAGATAGCCAGATGTTTTCATTCACCCAGTGAGCTGGAAAGTTGTCATATGACCTTTTCGCTACTAAAAAAGTAAATATCAAATTAAAAAAAAAAAGAAGTGTATTAATAATATCATGTACAACAATCCAATTGTCTATCTGATTAAATGTCATAAATTTACAATAAGAATATTCAGATATTAGTGCTGAAAGACATTTCATGCTCGACTTTTTTTGAAGAAATAGTCAAGCTATTATGATAACCTCGTCAACATTGTCCTGTAAAAGCTTAAATGTAGCACATTTTAAAAAGTATCAGCATGAATCTTGGAGTACTTGTTTAGCATGACATGATGCAGAACTTTGTTAGACAAGGGGCATAATTCTTAAAGCATCATTTTCGGAGTCGTTCCCCCTTTTTGAACCGAATTTTTGTTTTGAACAGGTGAGCGCTAACACTGCATGTGGTGCACTTGTTTTAAATATAAAAAGAATTGTTAGTGTGTTGTGAGTGAGCTTTAAGTTCTGTTGTAAATTGTGCTCAATATGTTGAAATAACTAGCATTTTGGTGCTTCTTGTTAATTGTTTATTTGTTAAGACAAATTTGATAAATCATTGTGCAATGAATAAAAGTTTTTGATAAATACTATGTTTTCTTTAATTTTGTTTCATGTTATCTGGGTTTGGTACTGTAGTGCCTGAAAAGGGATCAACGGACTACGTACATTTAGTGTATTTTATTTCCCTCAGAATACACAGGTAGAACAATATATCAATTGGACCATACAGTCTTGGATTACCTATAAACAAAGGATACTTGATGCTACCTATTTGACATTCACTGCTGATACTTTACATGCAGTCACTGTATCATTAGTATTTAAGTCTTGAAACTTCAGAATATGGGATTAAACTCGTACATAGTTAATAAAGTTGTTTCTCATTTGAAACTAAAATTGCTTTTTTCAAGTCAGAAGGTTCTAAATAAGTTATAAGAACTTATTTTGCATTCAAGCTTACCTGAAAATTAAATTTACATTGATATAATGTATACACCTTGTTAAGTTACATGAATTACAAACAAAATCTTAGTGTCAAGGATATACTATACTAGTATATAGTTCGCAACAATTGTTTGCTATATACTCGACCAGTGTATATAAACATTGACTAGTAAGAGCCTACAAAGAAGGAACTTTGCAACTCTTAGGACAATTATATAATACAGCCAAACAACAATTGGTTGCCTGTTCCATACATTGTCAATGTAGAATTAGGGTTGTTTCCCCATGTACTGTACATGACACTTCATGACCATTGGTCATGATAGGGTTGGACTATGATCTTTTTTTTGTCTTCTTGGCACTTCAGATGACTGTACACTTTGTATTGTAGAAAATAAGGTAGTCCATCCAATAATCGTGTCTTCCCCTAAAATACGTGTATTCTTCTGTAGAACTGAACATTTAAAGTGGCATTATTCCCATTTAAGTGTAATGGTCAGTGAACATGTAAAAGTCAAAATAACTTGCTATTTTACTATGAAAAAATACTCAATGACTCCGTCATCAACGGAAATTTCTATATATAGGTTATGCTGGATTCTTAAAAAGTGTAGGGCAGTCTTATTTAAAGTTAATGTAGTTTTTATATTGTTTCAAACATTTTTCGTTATCAATAATTGGTCAATCTCCAGTATAAAGTTATACTACTTATTTTTTAAAATACAGCGAAAAAATGTTTTCATAAAAGTCACTATTCACAAGGGTTTACATATAGAAATTGACATATGATTTTCCGTGGCAATTTTTTATTTAGCTTTTTTCATTTTCATTTTACATTTTGTTTTAAGAAACCTTTCCTTTAAAACATGAAATACAAAGCCCCAACTATGCTCTAGATTTGCAAAGGCATAATTCAATGCGTCTTTTTGATTTTTTTTATTGAAATGACATTTATTGCTAATATATACATGTTAATATACAGAAACAACTGGTTTTCGAAATAATAAATTAATAGCAATAGGGTTAGGCCCAAGTATTAGCGATCGACCCTCGATCTCCAATTTGAATGTTCTCGGTACGATAGGAGAAGTTTGTCAATTACAGTTTACCAGATGTAAAATCTGTTGTACCTGGTGAGATCCCACACACCGTACAATCAAATGGGCAGACAGCAGTTCCAACGTCGACAGCTGTACAGTATACATGTCGGCGCACGAAACACAATTGACGGATCTATTTCTAACATATCCCAACTGTGTTGAGTAAATCAATGGTATGGATTCATTGTCAACATCCAAAGGAGCATACTGATAAATTTCTGGCCCTGTGCAAGCTTTACTTCACGTGAATTTTGAATGAAAATAACCACACTATCGATGAGATGCGACATTTTTATTTTTAAGTCACAAAAACTTATATTTTCTCATGATAATAAATCCTTTTATCATACGATTCGTAAACGTCAACATTTCGTCATTAAATATTCCAATACAAACCATATCTTCAAAAATGCTTTTCTGTTAAAGTTATAGGGTATTTAAGTTTGAGTGTGATCAAAATTTTAGTAACGTCATCAGCCGTTCACCTCTTTTAAATGATAACATCGACAGCCATTCATCAGCAAGAATGATCGATAACGCTGGGAAAGCCGTTCAGGGAAACAATTCTCAGCGCTTTTTTTTGGTATGTGACAAATAGGATTAAATTCCCTTGAAACATCACAATAAACTTTTTTTTATAGTATTGCAATGTCTATTCTAAGAGGGGAGGGGGCATTCACTCCGTTATTTGACCCCCCCCCCCCCTCATATTTTTTCAGAGGCAGGGTAAACATTTTACATAGAAAAAATAGGAAAAAATCAGTAAATGTAATACATTCTCACTTTTCGATAAAAATCCCCCGTCTTTTTCAAATCCTAGAATAGACACTGGTATTGCTAGATCGAAGGCTAGCAAAAGAGCAACATACGTAGCTATTTAATAATTAAATAATAATTATACATGTATAAGTATATAAACATCTTCATGTACACATGGATATTAATATCAAATGTATATATGTCTGTGATTTACAATGCCACTTTTACGCGGTGCTTAAACTTTCATAAAAAGGGTCCCTCGAATACGTTTCATTTGGGCATAATATTTAACTATAAACATTTTTAAAAGTCAATGGTTCTGTAGGCCATACCCTTGATTTAAGATAGTTCACGTTATATCACAATATATTCATATTGATATTGCAATATGAATTTTCTTTGCAATAATGAGGAAGGGCCGACCGCTTATTAATAATTTTGTTATTACTAGCATGAGGCCGCCTTTTTAATTTAAGACAACATAGCCCTAGCAATATGACGTTGCTTTGAGATTTTTTTTACTTCTCAGCAAAGGAACATATAAACTATATATACAACAAGCCCGTTACGTCTGACCAGGGTCTTTGAAATAGAATGATTTTTTTTTTTGAAAGACCCTGGTCTGACACATTGGACTAATGACAGCAGTGGTTAGTAGATATATCTATACCTTAAATCATTCATGTATTTTTAAGAATCAAATTGTCTTATCTTGAACTATTAAACGTGTAAAAAAATACTCGTATACTTATTTTACACAGTCGAAAGTATGGCATATAGATCTAGTACCGCACATTTTTTTTGTCGTCGTTGTTTATTTATATTGGTTGCTACTCTTGGTCACGTGACTTTTTAAGGAGCAAATAGCAACAACTGTCATGGCGGAGGTGAGTGTTTTGCCAAAAATTGGTACATTTTCAAACAAAGCTACATATTTTCAATTATTAATTAACAAATATGTTTTTTACAAATGTTCTTTGATTTCAAAGGCAATCTGTAAGTTTCATAAAACTGTAAAAAATTCTGGAAACAAAGTGATCCCTCGGAAGCATTAATCACAACAAAATAACATAAGAATTGCAGACTCGGTTTGATTGAGTCTGTACATGAGGGATAATGAATAAGTGCAACATCCCTCACGCCCCCTAGCACCGGCTTGAGCGTTACTCAATTCTCAACACTTTATAGTGTTGGCATCAATGTAAAGAATGCAAGTGTCTACAAAATTGAAAACACTGAAATTAGGCTGATGATCATCATATTCACTAAAGGAAGTGGCTAGCCGTACGGACCCGTACGGCTAGCCAAAAGGTCTAGCCGTACGTGAGTCACGTACGACTAGCCAGGACGCACTAGCCGTACGGCACTTTTTAAAATTATATGTTATTTTGTGTCTTTAAACGAGGATTTTAATCAAGTCTCTGCATTTGTCCTCGTGTGTTCACTTTAATAAAGATGCTCCGTCATTTTGTAAAAAATGAATACGAACAAGCGTTGTATAATCTATCAATTAAAGTTGCATGTTATAAGTTATACCGTCGTTGATTTTCATGCTTATCATTTGTTGTTTTATTTGTATGAAAGATGCATTATTAAATCATTTTTGTTAATTAAGCACATGGATCGAAATAAATAGTTGATCGGAGTGGAATAAGTAAATAAATAAAAAGAACATTAAAAAAGAAAACGGTGATAAGGTAAACATATTTCTATATTCAATATTTTACAAATACAGAAGATTAATACGGAACGCTATTTAATGAACTTTTCCTAAGAGATGGACAAAATACTTCTATACTGTCGGTAATTTGACGGCAATTATGCAAGAGCTGCCAACAACAATAATTCGGTTTTCCCATTTTAAAGGTTCGAAAAATAAAGCTAAAATGGAACAAAAAAAGGATATTAATCAAACTCTTGTAAACTATTTTCAAATTGTCTAAATGCCAACAATGACAAAGATCGCAGCCACAAGTGCGATTAATTTCTCAACAAGATTAGACATTCGAAGACAATTGCTGTTTCTTGGTTAAAATCCTCGTTTAAGTCATAAAATACATATGCATTTCGACTTCCATATAATTTTGAAACAGTGCCGTTACGGCTAGCCAATAGCAGTTGGTCCTTCCTGGTTAGTCGTACGTGACTCACGGTTTACGGCTTAAGACCTTTTGGCTAGCCGTAAAGGCCCGTTACGGCTAGCCACTTCCTTCAACTAAAATATGCAGAGAATCAACTTTTGTCAACAAAGTGTAAACATTATAACATGATCATCACTGTTCATGTCAAATGTATAATGCCAATATTGTTGTTGCCCAAAAGCCCCAAAATATTGCCCAAGTATGTTTAAATTATCATTTATGATTCTCACTGATAATGGCATATGTTGAGAAATTGGTGCTTATAAATTTATGCTTAATGTTTTTCTGAGTTCCTTAATGTTGCATGTTGTTTTAAACGTTTTACATAGCTTTTTTGTTTTGTTTTTTTTTTGGAATACCCCATTGCAAGTTTTAAAATTTTTCATTCCCCCCCCCTTTCCTATTTTTCACCTTGGTTTTGCAATGCGGGTTATTAACTTGCTTTTGATCAGTTCACTTTTAGATTTAGATAATTCAACCTTGTTCGAAGTGAAACTGTGAAGATTTTTGAATTATTGAAGCCATTTATCACAAACAAGCTAATGGTAATCTACTGGCATGCAAGCAGTTCTCGTACAGAAATAGTACACATATTTTTTTGTGTAAACGCTTGATTTTTACTTGCGTTCTTTAAAAAGTGATGTCAAATTATGCTGACATGTGAATGATACAAAATCTAAGTGTCAGTTCGGCAATATGTACAAAAAGTTTTCATTTTAAATCACTCACCTGTGTGTTGTCAAAACAAGAGCTTGTAAATGTTGGAGGATTCCATCTTTGTGCAGATAAGCTAAAATACTAACATATGAGGCCTGTTTTCAATCATACGACATCATGTGACATGTGTACAGATAAGTGGGCAATATGATAAACAATTGGTTTAATTGAATTCCAAATTAATATTTAAAAAATGGTTTTTGGGTTTAAACCATTCTTCAGTTGTTGGGGTTTGATTTTCCTTTTCCATTTATCCAGCTTATTTCCCCCGAAAGGCCAAGTTTTTTGGAAAAAATTAAAAAAAAAAAATGGAAAATTTGGAAACAGTTTAATTTTGATTTTTTGTTGAAACAACCCTGCCATGAAAATTATTTTAATTTTGGCTCAACTTTTTCTTATTTTCATTGGATTCAGATGGGATACCAAAAGATTTCTAATTTAATTTGAAGGAATCCCTTTTTTAAAAAATACAAAAACAATTATGGTGAGGGAACATACAGAGCTCAAGCAATGGTGACCACCCATTTCTTTCTCTATCAATTTGTTTCAGTCATAATATTCATTAGTCATGCAATGTTTAAGACAATTTTTATTCCTGGTTTATATTTACCTTCTTTGCCTTTGTAAAAAAAATAAAAAATAATAAAATTTCCAATTAGGGGCCTAAATGGTTAAATTGACATACAGCTTACAGGTATAATCAGCTGATATATATATATATGCTATATAGGTAATTTTATCTACTAAGAGGATATCATTCAGTTTAATCTATGATAAACATATTTGTTGAGACATAGCTCTAATTGGGTTTAGTTTGTGTCAGAACTCTCTTTTTAAGATAGAAATATGAGTTAAACTATTGTATGCTCTATGAAAGAAAGAACAAATAAATAAAGTTATTTATAGATGACTAATTGTATAATAATTACACAACATTATTTTTATAGACTGAGAGAAAAAAATTACGTTTACAACACTTCTTTTTCTGATTTCTCTCATTTCCATTGAAAATGTACATATGACATTGCGGCTAACTAATTGTTTGATAATTAATGTTATTGGCACAAAACTATTTTTGTATATAGCAAGAAACACACCTACACTTTCAACACCTGTTATTCCAATTTCTCACATTTTCCATTAAAAATGTATAGATGACATTGCAGCTAACTAACTGCACAAGCTGTTCACAGTGGTGAATTGTTGATAACATAATCATATCTTTTTATTGATTTCAGATCGCATTCCACAAACAGTAAACAGTCAATATGTAAGCTACCTAGATGATGATTCCCTCCAGTGATAGTGATTGTACACCATTTTTCAACACTATCTCTATACAGGAGTATAAAGTTAGGAAGAATTAAAATTTATCAGAATATTGAATTTTCTGGTTCTTTGTGCTTTTAAAGGGATTTGAAAGTAGTTGCATGTATTAGGGGGAAAAAAATACGAATAAAACAGTGAAAATGAATCGGTATACAGTAACGAAGCAACTGGGAGATGGGACTTACGGAAGTGTTTTGTTGGCTACATGTATCGAAACAAATGAAAAGGTGGCCATCAAAAAGTAAGTTTCTTTTAAATAATTATATGCATGTATTACCGTACATTATTCTGTTTATATGTGCCGCATCATGACAAAACCAACATAATGAGTTTGAGACCAGCATGGATCCAGACCAGCCTGCGCATCCGCGCAGTCTGGTCAGGATCCATGCTGTTCGCTATCAGTTTCTCTACTTGTAATAGGGTTTGTAAGCGAACAGCATGGATCCTTATCAGACTGTGCGGATGCGCAGGCTGGTCTGGATCCATGCTGGTCGCAAACGCACTATGTTGGTTTTGTCGTGACGCGGCTCATATCTTTTAGTAGTTCATATTTTCACAGCTCAAAAGTCAAAATGAGTAAAATACTGTAAATGGCTAAATGCCTTTCAATTAATAATGTCTTAATCAAAGGGCTCAGATGCATAATAGCAATCTTCAAGACTTACTTATTAAGCATGTAGAAATATACATGTACATTAAATTTTGTACCTTATGCAATAGATGTGAGACTGTTGCCATTTTCATGCGGCATCTTATTAGCAATATACACAGGTTAATCAATACTTTTGTGTTACAGCCTTACATACAAGCAAAAATAATCATCAATAAAAAACCTGAACTTTCTCCTATAAAATGTATTTTCCCTGAAAAAATAATATAGTTTATCAGCTTTATTTTCTTTTTTTATTATATTTTTGCTGAAATATTAAATTTTCTACAGACTGTCTGGAACCGTCTTTTTGTTATAGTATTTGCAATGCATTTACCGGTAATTACAATAATTATCAGTTCAACTGTTGACATGTAAAGGTTTTCTATTTATATGTGGTTTATTTAGTAATTCTTATTCTAGACATGCAGAATCAAGCCTGAAGCTTTTCCATTCTGTCCATGTCAATATTTGTTGTATAAATGTAATTATGCTTTTGGCATCATGAATAATGCACAGCTATTCAAAACAGCATAGATTCAAAAGATATTGTTTATTACACATACATAACCTGGACAATATACAAATATGATCAGTGATGCAAAAAGTTAATCAAATTTGCTATTGATCGAATAATTTCCAAGTCTGGAGGCTAATTAGGTAAAAGCATGGATATTGTGTTGTGATTTGATAAAGTTTGCTGAATATCGTGTTGTACGGTTAATATGCCTATTTCTTTCTATGACATGCTTTACAAAATTGGTAATGTATTGAGTCATGAATCTGACCAAGCTTTAAATCAAAGGATTATGAACAAGTTTGTTAATACATATTAAATTATTTGTCCTATGATAGTCTCAATTGGTGAATATCGGTAGTTATTGCATTCCAACAAATATAATAGTACTGTCTGTACATGTATCATATTACTCAGGAAGTGCCACTTCCATGAGTAGATTATTTGGATATACATGTATTTTACCTTTTTACCTTGGAATACCATAATTTTAATCAACCTTTTTACTAAATTGTAAACACCTTGTTTAGCTGCATTGTATGCTTCACTGGAATAAATCTTTTTTTACCAGAGAAAAGAAGTATTTTATAAAGTAACAAATATATACAATTTCTTTCTTTACAGAATGAAGAAAAAGTATTACTCTTGGGATGAATGCTTAAACCTCAGGGAAGTTAAGGTAAGGTATTATTCTGATTTAATACAACCCTATTTATTGCACCCATGCCTCTTCACCCCCAGGAAGAAGTGGATGGGTAATGTTGCTTTTTGATTTTCAAACCCCTTTGAAAGGTAGGGGACAGAGAAAAAAGGTAGAAACTGCACATTTCCCCTGCAAATCTTTGGGAAATGGAGGGTCAGGATAGCAATTGACTGGTACATGTACATTAAGACAAATATGGCTGGGAATCATGCATGAGTGTTACTTACCTCAGATGAGTGTCAGTTTTACAGAGGGCGTTGGTCTGAAGATTATTTAGCACTTTCAAGTCAACTGTCAAGTAAATTATCAATTTGGTCAAAAAATATGTTTTGATGAAGTTTTAGCCAGGTAAAGTATGTACATTGACCTGTGCTATGTATTTAGCATTCTCTTTCTCCTAAATTATAGTTTATTATTTTAAATGCATATTTAGACAGGGTCATGGAACATGGTATTAAGAGTTTTTAATAATAATTATAAAAAAGCAGTTATTATTGTCCGTTGTGTACAAGCCAAAAAACTCATAGGTAGTTAGTTTACATAAAATGTACAACTTTGCTATTGTTTAAGAATTTTTTACGATTTGCAAGCCCCCCAAAGTTTTTTTTTTTATACATCTCAGCATATTAAAAGTTAATAGATATGATACTCAGATATCATGGGTTTAAGGTTTACCAGGGTCAGAACCAAGTTTTTTTTCATATGACTCAAGATCTAGTTAAATAATACCAGGAAGTGGACTCCAAAGTATAGCTAAAAAGTTACAATGCTTTTTTCCGTAATCAAGGCCCGATTAAATAATGTTAAAACTAATTTTATTTCAGTCTTTACGGAAGCTCAATCACGCAAATATTGTGAAGTTGAAGGAAGTGATCAGAGAGAATGATCAGTTGTTCTTTGTGTTTGAGTTTATGAAGGAGAATCTCTATCAAATGATGAAGGACAGGTGAGTCTTTTAATAATAAATGTCTCCAGTAAGTTAAGGTCAGTATGTACCCAGCAGCCCAGATGTGCTGAAAGAAAAAGTATAGCTTGACAGTGGGAGTCAAGTTTCATTGGTTATTTTCTACAGTAATAACATATATGAGTCGGGTAACGACAAAACCAACATAGTGGGTTTGCGACCAGCATGGATCCAGACCAGCCTGCGCATCCGCGCAGTCTGATCAGGATCCATGCTTTACGCTATCAGTTTCTCTACTTGTAATAGAGTTGGTAAGCGAACAGCATGGATCCTGATCAGACTGCGCGGATGCGCAGGCTGGTCTGGATCCATGCTGGTCGCAAACCCACTATGTTGGTTTTGTCATGACGCGGCTCATGTCATTATCAGTGTCAAAGTACCAAAATGTTATGAAAATATGAAAGTTGTCTGTTTACTTTCAGGAAGAAATGTAAATTTAAGTTTTCAGTTGGGTAAATGTTTGTCTTTGAGACAACATGCAAATTATCCCATTTGTTGTTGATTACTTATTCGAGGATGATTTATGTGGGAAAGAACCCTGTTAATACTAAATAAATATCAAAGTACATATATCAAAGTACATACATAGTAAGGTAAATTTATGCTAAGCTGCTGTTATAAATATGCATGTTACTAATGCAAAACAAATTACTAAGGTTACAGTAATGCACAAAAAAAATTCAGCTGTGTTGCAAAAAAAAAGAGAAAAGATCCTGACATACAACAAATATTGTTAATATAGGTCAGTTTAAAATATATACCAGAGGTCACTTGTCATTAAATGGGTCACAGATTTAATATATTTAAAGCATTTCTTCTGATAAAGGAAGTGAATATTTATTGTTGTAAGTAACAACTGAATCAGAAATAAGATATTATAATTGTTTTATTGAAGGATGATGAAGTAAGTTGATTTTTGAAGTAAATGCTACTGTGTGGGTCATAGTGAAGAGAGTTAGGGGCAACTTGTAATTGTATATATTATATATATGATTTACTAAGCCATGTACGTAAATTGCTAGGAAAAATATACCAATATGAGATATATGTTTTACTAAGTTTATATAAGTTTAACCACATGGTAATGTTATTTAGTTACTTTGTTGAGTTAGCAGCTAGAAATTCTCGGTAATGATTTAATGCCATGCTCCCAACAATGAAGCTATGATTTTGTCGCCACTCACAAGTCCATTGTTTTCTAATCCAACTTATTGTAACTTGAGATAATGTGCTATTTTTGTATAGGCAATATCTCCCCTTAGAAGCAAGGTTCTGACTCGGAACAAAACTATCTTAGGATCAACTTTGGCACATCAAAATATTTGACTAATTGTTTTCAAACTACTTTTTATACACCAAATCAACAAATGTCTTCCCTATTCTAATTCCAAAGGGGCATTATGAAATCATAAATCGCCTGCTTTTTGTTTAAGATAAATCATGTCATCGTATCATTGCAAGTGTTAGTCCTTTTTTTTTGCCATTACAAACCTGTGCAAAACTATAGACTTGGTCTATTGGCCATACAATCATGGGCTTATATAACAGAGCACTGTCATATTCCCTGTATTGATCAAAGTTTAACACAGTAAGTTGTGATGCAATATTGGTCTGAACAGAGAACTTGCAACACTTGTTTAATTTAGCTAATTAACCTGGTTGCTCAAGGCTGAAATAATACTTTTACCAGACTCTGATAATGGAACATACAGGCCTTTAGGAAAATTCTGTAATCCTTGAATATAAACGTTAATTTTGTTTAACTCTCTTAAATTATCAGTTGTTAGCTTAAGGAGCTGAGAAGATGGAAAAGTGTGTTCAAGTTAGGGCAATATCCCTTTTGAAAAATATTAATACAATCATTTGTTTGTTTAGACTACAATAAATGTGAAATGATATATATATTTTTTTTATATAATGCTAGAAATCATGTCTCTTATCATGTCATTTATGCTTTCATTATATCTGTCTCTCTCCCTCTTTGTGCTAGGAATAGAAAAAACATGTGAGTGAATTTAGTTTGCTTTTGCAAGAGTCAAAAATATATCTGCATATGCATTATAATTTATAATTATACCTTAAGCTTCATACCCATATTATGCTGGTATTTAATGAAAGTCATAAGTAGACCAGTTCAGTATTTAGATCTAGGTTCAATGTGCATGTAAATAGTTTAAATATGTGTTTCTCAATTGAAAAAGTTATCAAATGTTTCAAAAATTGGTTTAATAGATATATAAATAGTTGGTTATTTATAGTGAACTTGCAGACCCAGCATTCTTTAATCCTCTGTACAGTAGCAGCTATAACAGCAGAACTGTGCCACAACTCCTGCAGTCTGTCCAGACTCTATTATGCTGACTGCTCAATTTAACTATTTTAATATAGAAATGACTTGATAATTTCAAGGTTAAGTTTTAACCCTTCACCACTTGAACTGCATGTAATTAGCCCTTGCCACCAGTATACATAACCAGGCCAGCCGCACATCCATGCAGGGGACCATTCTGTTAGCTCAATAGGTGGAGCACTTGACTGTGAATCAGGTGACTTGAGTTCAATTCCCAGACAGTGCAGGTCATTTTCATTGTGATTGATCATGACATCCTTTCTACTGTCATTCGCACTTTACCTCTGCTCTGGCATGTACAGAAGTTAAAGTAAACTGCTCGAAAGCCTGTCTAGAAAGTAGAAACGAGATTGTGGCTGAACTGTGCTCTGGTAAATTCAGTGTGGCTTACTGGCATGATCCTGAGTGAAAACTACCATCACCAACACATCTGTGTAGTCTGACCAGGTTCTTTACTGCTGGCCGACTAACTTCAAATTTTCTTCTTGATATCCCCAAACTTAATAATTATTTAATGGACAGTTCCAAAAATCTCAAGGCTTCTAATACACAAACTTATTTTAGAAATAAACTTCATAAAATGGATTAATGGTTTAAGAAATGTATAAAAACAATCCATATAAAAGCATAGTAATGGAAATTTTATCAATATATTCCAAACATGTGACTTATGAAGTAATGCCTTGTTAGCTTATTTTGTCACATTTGACATACTGTTGATTTTAAGATGTTTTTATATATATATATCAGCTTAAAGCTAGCAGTATTTCTACTTTATATGTACACTTCATAAATTCTCATAAACATTTGCTTTAATTTGCATTCTAGGATAAAAAAAAATGTAAATATGAATGTGTTTACAGTCTCTTGACTTTGCAGGGGATGTCATTTCATTGAAATTGCTTGTTTTATTTGAGACTGCCATGCAGCTTGCTTTATTTAAGACAGCCATGCAGCTGGCTTAAGGTTTAAGGCCTTAATTTATAAAATTGTTGCATTACTTTCAATTTTTTAGGATCTGTTCAGATATTGTCACTATCATTAATGTACAAAGTATACATGTAGGTTCATAAGATAACTGTGGAAGGCAAGATCTTCTATCATCTTAAAAAGGACAGCTATGTAATAGTTGCATTAAGATATACATTTCCTTGCTGTTATTAAAGTGAAGTGGGTTAAAGATATGTTAATAGTGAAGGTGCTGGCACTATTCCAGATATTATTGTAAAATTTAGATTGTAAATAAAACATGCCTTGTAACCTGATCAATAAGGAATCAAATTGTCACAAGTTATTGTAGGTAGTCCATATACTTAGATAATGGTGATTTTATTGGAAAGTTGAAATTCTTATTTAAGCTTATTTGATTTTTTGATTGTAAGAAAATAGTTAACCCTTTTGCTATCTTCCTTTATGCATTGAAAGATAAGGTGACATATTTGCCAGTCTCCCCTCCCCTCTCCTATTGTTAAAGACATCACTTTCTTCTGTCTTTCCAAAAGTTTTATTTACATGATTAGATATACTAGTCTATACCTTTTATATAAGAAATGCATTCTTAGAACTGTGTCTTGGTTAGAGGTGCAATTACAGGTAACTTAATTGTTTACTTGACTTCCTGTTTTTCTCCAGGAACTATTGTTATTCATTCTTTCTGATTTTATGGAGAGCAAAATCTCCTTTGTCTGAGTCCTCTTGTGGCTGAGTCGGTTGACTTTTGATTCTTTTCATGTGAGGTAGCTATCCAGCTAGCTTACAGAACATCAGTGGTTTTACTCAGGTGCCTGTTTGTGGCTGGCGTAATGCATTGAGGGGTACCTGAGGTCTTCCTCCATCAGTAAAGCTGGAAAGTCACCTTTTGACTTCTGTGCCATATGACCTCTTCTGGGTTGGTGCCACATAAAACCCAACCAAAAAGAAAAAATGCAAAGCCTTTGGAAGTTGTATAGACTGAAGTTGAGTTTGGTTTTTCTGAAGTTAATATTTAATAAGTAAAAATTTTCAACATAGAACTTCAATCGTATTAAAGGAAACATGATGTGTGTAATGAATATTTTATCAAAGGATTAACTCATAGATTATCTTGTAACAAGGATTTGCAAGTCTTTGATGTGTTGTCTGAAGGTATTTGTAAACTAATGTCATACTTTTCTCTTGTGCTCTAGTAATGTATGTCAAGCTTTTTCATACTTTTGACTTATTATAGTCTGACATTGTGGCTTGAAAGTAATTTCTTGCAGGAATTACATCAACTATTATCATGTGATTATAATTACTCTACCCTAGCGATAGCTACAAATGTATCTTTGACCCTTATGTGCATATTTTCTATTTCAAATGTCCTATTCAATCTGTGGAATAATTTCAAATTTTATGTGCTTAGCGGTTTTTAGACCTCAGTGGAGTTCCTTTAATACACATGTATTGCCGGCTTGCAGTTGTTCAAACAGAATTAAATATACTTAAGAATAAGATAATTTAATTATTTTTTTAAGACCAATGATCATAAACAATGAGTAAATTACTTTAGTTATAAACAAACTAATGTATTATATCCTGATTATTTCTGACACAGACTGTGACTTTGTATTCATAAACATATCTATAATACCAGTCTGTTTGTCTTTAATGCCTGACTTAAGGTAGATTAGAATAATGATTTCAGACAATGTAAGGAAATTGCACTGGCCAATAGTTGACACCTCTGTGAATATTTGATGATATGATTGTTTTCATTCACGGGATTGGGTAAATAGAAGCTTATCAAATTGATTTTAATCAAATCTGTACTGAAACCTTGGAGGTGTGAGACAGAAACTTTTAATGTATGTCTAGTAGCTACAAATAGGTTCAAATAATTAAAATCGGTTCAATGTGGTATCAATGACCTTTTTACTGCAGCTAACCATTTGTTCTGAAGAAGGACACGGTAGTTTTAAAAGGAACAAGTGTTACATTTGAGAAACTTTAGAAGTTACCCTTGAAACTTATTTATGGAAATATCCGTAGTTGTATTCTCCACTCAAGTGTGAATCCCCTTGTGGCTGAGGGGTTGCCTTCAATGGTTGAGGCATAAAAATTGCAGTCACCGTTTATCATTGCATGATTGTAAGAGGCAAATTACTAGAGTCCATGCATCTCCTTATAGCTCCAGCAGGTGAGGTGGTTTTGACTTCTGGTGTTGCTTTGAAACTTAGTTAGGTTAGCCAAAATCATCTTTCCTGTTTCAATGCAATATGACCGAAACTGTGTTTGTGTGTGGTAAAACCAAATAAGCAAAACAAAACTCATGTTTGTAAAAGGGTGGTGGAATATGGGTATTTCCACCTAGATTGGCAGTTTCCATATCAATGGGATGGTTTAACTTAAAACTAATCTCAACAAAGTAAATTAATACATGAATATTCTTAACTGTGTGACTATTTAATATTTGGTAAATCTGTCATTTCAAAAAATAATTTCATTATAAAATCTTATTTTGTTTTGCAAATTTTCAAAAATAATCAACCAGCAAAAATTTTGGAAATATTATATAAATTGGGATCAAAATTGGGTTTTAAAAATGTTTTAAAAATGGTTTAAAAATTTGTGGGGCAGCCAAACAAATTTTTTTCACACCCTAAAACCCCCCTTTAAAATCTTTTGTTTTTGGGAATTTAAACTTAGGTGGGGAAAGTGGGAAATTTATTTAAATTTTTGAAACTAATAAATTTAAATTTTATTTTAAAGTAGTTTTAATAACATTACCCCCCAAATAATTTTATTTTATGGTGCATTTATTTAATATATGTTTTTAAAGAAAATTATTAAATTTACATTTATTTAACCTTTGGAATGTTGTTTTTATTTTTTTGAAAACCCAAAAATTGAAAATAAAAATCTGTGAAGAAAAAAAATCAAATTCCCCAGTATGATTTTTAGATTTTCAAAATAATGTTTTTGTAAAAACCCTCCCGTAAAAAGATATAAGGAAATTTAAAACACCGGGAACATTTTTCTTTTGACTTTTACTATTTCCCTTTTAGTTTGGGGAACTTTTTAAAAAAGTTCCCTTTTTTTATTTTTTTAAAGGGGCAAAGGGTTTTTCCCAACATCATACGAAAAGTTTTTAAACCCAAAATTTTTCAAATTTTGCTTTTACTAAACGGTAAGTTTTTTTCTATCTTCCTTCCCTAAAATTTGTGATGGGCCCCTTAGAGGTGAGGGGTTGCCTTTTATGGTTGAGGCATAAGATTTAATTTAAGGTAGATGTTGACCTATTGAATTTCTAATTTAATGCCATAAGAAAAAACAAATAAAAAATTATCTTTAAGCCCAAATATTAACAATTTTGTTAATGTAAGATTCTTTATAGAAGCCTAGTTTTCACAAATTTTAATCATAAGTTTATTACTTTTTAACTGTTCAATATTTGACATTTGTTTATATACAGAATATACCATATTTTTTACATACATGCGTATTAAGAACGCCTAATTGTATAATATAAAAATTATGACTGACAGGGTGCAGATGGGATTTTAAATGTGAGGGGAATTAACAATACATGAAGAAATCTTGTGAATTGACTGTTAACCTGTTAAAAATAATAAGCAATCTTGTAACAAAATATTGGGTTGAAAACAGTGGGCACCTCAAAATGCCCTGGGTACTAACTGTTTCTGTTCAAACTTTTGGCAAGGATTTTGTTTTCTTCTGTTATGGTTTAAATATAAATAAAGAGTTGTCTTAGTGGTGCACTAGCAGAATTATGTATTTAACTATCGTCTTTGTATTTCTTAAATTTTCCTATCGAAAAATTAAATGCAGTTTTACCATTTTAGCCCCCTTCTTAAGGCCGGGATAAAAAAAACAATAATTCCATATTGCAAAAAAATTGCCACATTTTCCCCAAATGATGTAAAATTTTTCCCCAAATAGACATTGATAAATTGGTATTTTTTGTTCTACCCTGCAGTTATAACAAAATTTCATTGTTCCTGAAAAGGGTTGGACAAATTAGGGCCGTACTTCAAATAATGTAGATATTGAAAGGTACTGAAATAGGCAACGAAAATTAAAACAGGTCTTGTTGAAATGCATTTACGTGCGGGTGTCGACAAACCTTTAGCTTCTGGGTGATTAGGGAAATTCCATTATCAACAGTCAGTCAAAGGGTTAGAAAATTTAAAAATTTTAATAAGGAGTCCTGAAAGTTGAAATATGTCCCAACCCTTTGGATTAGAAATTTGAAATAAAACTAAATAATAGGGAATTGGGGTTATAAAAAGTAAGGGTTTCCTTTAATCTAATAAACCACTTTCCATAAATTTTCAGTGTGGCTTTAATTTTTAAAATTTAAAGTTTCCAATACAAAAATTTTTTTAAAACCCTTTAAACTTTTTAAAAACCTTTTTATTTTAAATTTCAGTATTAAACAAAGAGGGGGACTAGTCCCCGCAAAAAGGGATAAATTTAAGCTTGTTTCATTGTTAAAGGGGGATCCCTTTTTAAACCCTTTCATTAGTGGGATCTTTTTTAATTTTCTGTCAATTTTTTTGGCAAGGGGGGGAAAATCTGTTTTCAAAGAACTCTGGGGGGGTAAAAAATTTAAAGGGGGTTCGAAACCCAAACTTGCCCCCACGTTACTTCTGAGTTTTGTTTTTAAAAAAAAATGGTTTTGTAATTTGTTCTCTTAAAATTTTAAGATAATACATTTAAAAAAATGAATGTTGAATGTTTTTTCCCGATAAAACTTATAAAAAAAAAAATTTCAACTTACGGAACGCCCCCATAAAAAAGCTTTTTTTTTGAAAATTTTTAGTGCCCTTCCCTTAAACCCAAAGCCCGATAAATTCCCAAAAAGAAAATTTTTTAAAAAGGGTTTTAAGGGAGTTTCTGTCAATTTTCCAAAAAAAAACGAAAAAAAACTTCAATAATTTGGATTTTTTATTTGATATTAAAATGGGAAAAATTCCAAAACTGTAGGTTTTTTTTTTTTTTTTTAAAGGGAGAGAAAGGAAGTGGGAAACTTCCTAACTCTCAAATCTAAACCCGGGCAATTTTTTTTTGAAAATTTAATTTTTAAAAATAAACAGAAATAATTTTTCATATATAACTTTATCACATACCCATGCTGCTTTCGCTACTCTGTAAAAAATGGTTTTGCACACCTGTGCATAATATTTTGACATGACGTCATTTGCGTTAAACATGTCATTAAGATGCGCTAAATGTTAGCGTTATTCTATAGGCGTGTCAATAGAAGATGCTTCTTTTTCACTTCAAACTGTCATTATTTTGTGATTTTTGTGATGTGATAAATAGAATATTATTTTTGTGTAAGTTCATTACTGGATTTATTTAACCCGTTGAATAAAATATTATGCTGGCCATAGGCTCGCATAATATATATGAATAAATTTGATAAATTCAGTATTGAACTTAAACTAATTTAATATCCTCTATATCTACATAGGCTATGTTTTCTATGCTTTCTGTTTTGATGATTTAACATTACAAAAGTATACATTGTATCTACAAACTCTGCACATTGATTCCACCATTGTCTTCTATAGTTAGCTCACTAGGGAGAGCACTGGATTCGTAATGCAGATTGTAACAAGGTTAAAAAGATTTATTAAATCTTTTTCAGGTTTCTTCCATCGTGACTTGAAACCAGAAAATTTGTTGTGTTCAGGGCCTGACTGTTGTAAGATAGCAGATTTTGGTCTCGCACGTGAAATCCGATCTCGTCCACCTTATACAGACTACGTATCAACAAGATGGTTAGTATTATTATTGATTGAAAATTTCAAATATCATTAAATTGTCATGACTTGGAAAAAATTTTAAATATCCAGCACAGGTTTCCAAAATTTTAATAGTGAAATTTTAAAGGGAAAGTGTAACGATTTTTGGCCCATGGATTTGGGAAAAAAATTTTTTTCCTTGCAACTATTTTAGAGTCAGGCTAACATCACATTAATGTTTTGTTTACATTTTACTTTTACTATAAACATTAGGTGCTATAGTTTTGCACAATTAAATATAGTAAACACTTACATAAATGTTGGATAGTACCAGATTCAGACCATTGTATGGTTCGACAGTATTCAAAAATGAAAATATACAGAATTAATAAAAAAATTCTTAGTAACTTTGGAGAGAAAATATTTAAGACCATGATAAGAATATTGATAGTGTATTCAATTGCCTTATCTTAACAAAAAAACTATATTATGTGACCTATAAAACCATATTGTATCTTCTTGGCAACATGCCAGATCATTTAATATTATCTTTATGTATAATACCTTACTTTTGTAATTTTTAGACCTCAGTGGCCTTGTGGCTAAGGTTCACAGATATTGAATCACTGGTAATTGATATGGAAGTTTTGATTGTTTTTATGAGGAAACTATCTTGCTTATATGCAGGCAATTTGTTGTTCAACTGGGGTGCCTACAAAAGCTATAAGGACTGGCACCAAAGAGTTTCTAGTAGGGTCACCAATGGGCTTCCTCCTTCAGTAAATCTAAACAGTGGCCATGGCCATATTACCCTTAAAATGTTTCACAAGAAACCTAATGAAAAATAAGAATTTTCATAATTTGATAATGTTCAAAACACGATAAATTTTAGCATTATTTGTATGATATAGGCATAGAGCACCAGAAATTTTCATTACTTTTATAATATTAAAGGTACAGAGCACCAGAGGTTTTGTTACGGTCTACAAATTACAACAGTCCTATAGATATCTGGGCAGTAGGTTGTATAATGGCAGAAATGTATACATTGAGACCACTGTTTCCAGGAAGCTCGGAAATAGATGAAATATTTAAAATATGTACAGTACTAGGAACCCCAAAGCAGGTAAGACATAAGTGATAATTTAAATGGACATAAAGACTATGTAACATAAGTCAAATTTAATGTTATGAAAATCATTGTTAAATAGTATTTTGAAAATCATTGTTAGATAATTAATACGAGTGAGTTTTGGTCTACATTTTTATGACTAAGAGGTATGACCCCACATGAATCAAACACTTTTTAATAAGAACAGAGACGGCTCATAATTTTATACAGTTAATTACTGTTATGCTTAGACTATAAAGCTTAAAAAAAACACATCATGATTTGGTCAAGATTCAAACTGGCTTTAGCATGGTACATGTATTTAACAATAAGTGTAGCTGTTATTTGTATGTCAGTTTAAAGCCCTTATCCTGCGGCTGGCATCAGGTTCTACCCATGCAAACAGTGCAGACCAAGATCAGTCACCTTGTCCATGCAGTTGTATCATGGTCTGCACTGTTTGCTAATTTAGTTGTACACATTTTAAAATATTTCCCCCAAAAGGTGAATGGATTTGTCCAGATTGAAAGATAGAAAACTATTTAAAAATAGATATAAGTGGGAAAAGAGTTGAGGATTTTGAAGATTTTATGAATAATACTTGTATGTACAGGATGATTGGGATGAAGGTTTTAGACTCGCCTCTGCAATGAACTTCCGATGGCCACAATGTGTTCCCCAGAATCTGAAGACGTTGATACCAAATGCCAGTCAAGAGGCTATACATCTTATGAAAGACATGATGCATTGGAATCCACACAAAAGACCTACAGCAAGTCAGGTATACAACATGACTTATAATACTCTGCTTTTGTAATGTCACTTTTCATTGGCTAATTGTGACGTTTATAGTTTTATATACACAACTGCTGTCAATTTTTGAAGAAACTTCATGTTTTTTTATCCAAAAAGGGCAGTTTGCTGTATTATAATTTCGTTATAAAGATTCTTGACAGATTATATGGCTGTAAACGGTTGTTTGCAATTTAACCCTCATCTGTATGCAAACAGTCTAGCGGCTTAGGTTATATATGCAAAAAAAAGCCATATGACCTGTCAGAAATCTTTTTAACTAAAAATGTAAATATGATATGGTCTAAACTTTGATTTTATCATTGTATTTACTTTGATAGTAAAGAAATAATTAGTGATTGTTTGTAACAGTCAAAAAAGTAATAAAACAACACATATTAACATTTTGATATTATTTACTTTGTAATTATTTTATTTTGTCAAAATTATTTTGCTTAATTCTCTGTAAATTTATTTCCTGTTTGGAATATATACCACATGGTTTGCTGTTAATATACGTACATTAATATTATAATCTTTTGTTCTGTTTCAGTGTTTAAGATATCAATATTTTCAAGTTGGCCAGAATCTTGGTACAGCCATGCCATCCCCTGCTCGTCCACCCGCCCAGCCCATTCACTCACAACCATCATACAAGCCCCCAGAGAAACCCAGTGTACCGTCCCCACAGCATCACATGACAAATAGACCGTTCCAGGAAAAGCCCACAATACCTAACCAACAACAACCAATGGTGCCAAACTATGCTCAGAAACAGCAACAAAACCAGGACATGGATGTAAGTTTATTATATAACCCTTATTCGCTTGACGAAAGAAAACTTTCATAGAATTTATTTTTTGATCAGATTCTTTTCTGTTAAAGCTGCAGATTAATATACTGATATGCATGCTTCTACACATTTAAAACTTTTTGCAATCAGACTAAAGTTCAGATCTACTGAAGTAATTTCTTGCATGTAGATATCATCTGATTTTCATTGTATTTGTTTCGTCTTCATTGCGATTGGGATTTCCCGACAAAGCCATTTTTGTAAGGATATGAGAAGGTGACAATCAAATTGGTGGTAATCAGATCCTTATGCATAGAGGTTATTAGTAGCTGATTTTAATCAGAATGAAACTATTTGTGTCTGTCAAATATTAATATCAGTAGCATGAATATAAAAAAAATTGAATTGATTTCTAGGATCCTTTTCAAATGTCTGTAACAAAGAAGCAAAGTGCAAGAAAACGTTGGGGTGGTGGAGTGTCGGACACATGGGATGATTTCGATGACCTAGATTTCGGTGTTCCACGTAAACAAAAGGCGGCACCAGCAAAACCTTTGCCAGGTATCGGTGGTAAACGAGAGGATAAGAAGGAAAACGCGTTTAATGATGACGAAGATGATTTCTTAGCGTAAGTTAATAGTATTTTTGATATGTTCTGTATTACAATGTATTTTATATTAATATGTGCATGACAGATATATTTTACTTACATGTTTTTATGCCACCGCAGCATCTGCGATGCGGTGGCATATAGCGATTCACCTGTGTGTGTGTGTGTTTGTGTGTGTGTTATATAGATTATATAGTGAACTTAAAAAATCTTCTTGTGAAAAACCACTAGTCCAATTTCAACCAAACTTGGCAGGATTGTTCCTTGGGTGAAGGGCTTCCAAAGTTGTTCAAAGAATTTCATTCCATATAGAAATCTGGTTGCCATGGCAACCAAAAGGAATTATAAGAATAAATTAAAAAATCTTCTTGTAAAGACCCAAAAGGCCTAGAGCTTAGATATTTTGCATAAGGCATTGTCTAGTAGACCTCTAACAAGATTGTTCAAATTATAGCCCTGGGGTCAAAATTGGCGCCGCCCGGGGGGGGGTCATTGATTTTCACTATGTACATATAGTAAAAACTTAAAATACCTTCTTGTAAAAACCCAAAAGGCCTAGAGCTTAGATATTTTGCATAAGGCATCATCTGGTAGACCCTTACCAAGATTGTTCAAATTATAGCCCTTGGGTCAAAATCGGCCCCGCCCCGGGGTCATTGATTTTCGCTATATGTACATATAGTAAAAACTTAAAACACCTTCTTGTAAAGACCCAAAAGGTCTAGAGCTTAGATATTTTGCATAAGGCATTGTCTGGTAGACCTCTACCCAGATTGTGTAATTATAGCCCTGGGGTCAAAATCAGCCATGCCCCAGGGGTCATTGGTTTTCCTTATATGTATATAGTAAAAACTTAAAAAAAATTCTTCTAGCAATTGACAAATGCTACAGGTTAGATATTTTGCATGAAACATTGTGTTGTAAACCTCTAGCAAGATGTTCAAACTATAGTCCTGGGGTCAAAATTGCCCCCGCCCTGGGGGTCATTGATTACAATATATACATATAGTAAAAAATAAAAAAATCTTATTGTCTGAAGGTACAAGGCTTAGAGCTTTAATATTTGTTAAATAATATCATCTAATAGTACTCTACCAAAAGTTGTTCAAATGTTGCCTCTTGTCTTCTCTAAATTTACAAAGGATAGAGTTAAGATATTTTGCATGAAACATTGTGTAGTGGACCTCTAGCAAGATTGTTCAAATTATAGCCCTGGGGTCAAAATTGGTTCCGCCCCGGGGGTCATTGATTTTCATTATGTACATATAGTGAAAAAAAAAATTTTGTCTGAAGGTTCAAGGCATAGAGCTTTGATGTTTGATATATAATATCATCTATAGGTCCTCTACCAAAGTTGTTCAAATGTCAAAAATTGGCCCTGCATGCCCGGGGGCAGTGATTCTCATTATGTTCACGTAGTAAAAACAGAAAATAAAACAAATGTTTTCTGAATGGGAGAAAGCTATAGCTTAGATACAATGTATTTGACTTGAAATGTTGTTTGGTGGACCTGTATCAAGATTGTTATTAAACCCTTGGGTCAAAATTATGCCTTGACCTACTTTCTTGTCCTTTGATGTACAGCAATGACAGCAATGACATTTTGACCATGTGCACAGTTTTAGTTGTAAAATTGAACTTTGACCTAGATTTTGATGATGTGACCTACTTTCTTGTCCTTTGATGTACAGCTATGAAATTTGAAACATGCGGTGGCATAGCATTTTTCTCAAATGCAATCTTGTTTAACTTTTCTGAAGTTCTGTAGATTTGAATTCGCAGTATCTAAATGAATTTTAATGGCAAGCTATCATTTGTAGCATTGTGTTTAGGTTAAAATTTAGAATTTTGTTAAAGAAA